CTGTTATCTTTTTTTGTTTGATTTTTTTATTTTGTTTTAGTTTGCAATGCCTGTTATTTTATTTTTTCATATGGTATTTTATTTTATTTCTTTATGCTGTATTTGATTTTATTTGCATCATCAAGTATAAATGCCTCATGACGAGAAAGTCAAATTCGATTTTCTAGTTTTTAGAATATACTCCAATTGCTATAGCGGATCCGAAATTCTAGGAATGCCTATATGAATTCACTCTCGATTTTCCAATTAGAAAATCGAAGTTCATGTTTTGAATATCCTATTTTCAAGAATTTAGAAATTCATCGGCGAATTCATATAGGCATTCCTAGAATATTCTTGATTAAACTCTACAACTTATTTTCTAGTTTACAGTGTAACTCAAGCGGTCATCCGATGGGTATTTCGACCACTCGATTTGAAGTTGCAGTTCCCATCGAAAATTAAAACGTACTGCTTGGATTCCCTTTTTCTGATGGGTCGAGGGGTCGGCGATGGGTCAGTAATACACGGAGCTTTCGACTAGTGAAATAGCTCTACCCACGAAAACAAAATTCACTGAAATCTGCGTTTGAACGCGTTCTTTTTTTGTTTACATGTGCGCATTTTTCCAGAGCAGATTCGAACTAGGAACTTTTGATTTCATTTACCTGATACTATTGAGTTTAACTTACTGGAATAGAAATGCAATGTCTATATGTATTGAATTGAAGGATACATTTTTAATTTATTCATTTTAAACTCAAAGTAAATTTAAATTTCGAGAAGTGACTTTTAAAATAAATTTAAATAGTTCTATACAAAAAAAATTAATTATTTAAAAAAAGCATTTTTGAAGTCATTTTTTTGGGGCCTAATAGTTTTTTTCAAATATGAATGGATCAATTCTAGTATTTTCACAATATTAATAGTAACTTTTTCAATGATTTTTGCTTTCAGCTGTTTCAATATTCTAATTTTCGATATAGTAGGAAATTAGTGACTCATTTAGTTATATTTTCATTTGATGAAATACTGAAGAAAAATTCTAAACAGCAATTAAGTTTAAATATTTCAGGTATCAGGAGGGAAACAAAGAGCACTAGTCTTTTATGTAAACATTGTATAGTTAAAAAATATAGATTAAAATATGTATTCTCGAGTGTCTACAAGAAGAGTGCTTTTTTAAGAAAAAAAACTCGTTGATAAAAAAAACTCACTGAGAAGCAGACCAAATTAAAGAATATAAATGCGTACAAAATAAAATGCTTTTCAACGATGTTTTAAAGTCGTATTTTAAGTTGAAAAAACCCATTGTAAATAAAGAAACAATAATGCATTTCAACGTGTTACATAGACAAAACCATGCGTTTGAATGCGTTAGAGAGAAAAAACGATGCGCTAAAACGATAAACCAGCGTTTTCTTCTAAAAGGTTGCGTTAAAACGCTGTGTCATACGATTTATTTTTTCGTGGGATACAATATCAGTTGTTGGCTTTCAATGTAAGAAATATGTATGAACTTTGTCCGGAAAGCATGAAATGTAGCTATTATTAGTGCTACATACCTCTCGAATTTCTTAAAAAAGTTGGTTGGTTTTGTAAAAACGTTACTCATGTTTAACAACACCCTGACAAACGATTGATAATCTTTGAATGCAATTTCCGTTGATTGGAATTTCAATCAATTGGACAACTTAAAATCGATTGCTGATGAAAATTCAATTATTCACTAACCAGTTGATTATAATCGATTTCAATCCGATTATAGGTGAAAAGAGCGATGATTTACAAAAAAAATCGGATTTTCACAATGGTAATCAAAAATCATCTAGATTTCGACACCAATATGTTTCTCTGGGAAACAAATAGCTACACTACCGACCTCTTCCAAAGAGTGCTCAAGCGCCTGCTACATATAAGGTTGTCCGGAAAAATCGTGCAATTTTACCATGATTCACTCCTTTTTTCTTTGATTACATAGTTTCCTTTGTACGAAAAAATTAGTTTTCGGAACCACCTGTGTCTATGTTTCAGATATCATGATGCTAAGAGTGATTTAGTGCCTTTGTGTCTCGGAGCGAATAAGGTGTTCGCCGCTGAAACTTTTAGTGCAGGCATAATTTTATGTGAGCTACAATTTGTGACAGCCAGAATAAAAAAGTTATTTCTTTAAAATTTTCGAATTTTCAGACGGTCTTCAGATAGCATATAATACCACACTACAGCTATTTGTGATTATGAGGCTTGCAGTATGAAGGTCAATCAGCAGAACTGCGTCTGTGATAGAATTTTGAAAGTGATCGAGCGAGCTTTCGAAAGGATATGCACACTGGAGTTTTGAGGTATTCATTAACTTCTGATGGCTCCCAGCCAATGAGTCACTTTTGGTATCTTAACTCATTCCTAATTCAAACTCAAATAGTGCATCTTGTAGTCACGGATGAGATCTATAAAACTGCGCATCTCCTTGATGAGTGGATTCAAAGTATGATATCTGATACATGGACAGACACGGTTGTGAAAAAAAGTTTGTTTCGTACAAAGGAAATTATGCAATCAAGTCAGAAAGGAGTGAATCGTGGCTAACTTGCACGTTCTACATGATAGTGTAAACTAAATGTTTTGCACATCCTGTACAGACTCAGTTGTACGAACGTTCCGAACAACCTGTTATCTGTGGTTGAATAGTAAGCTTAACAGATGACAGCACATTTATGATATACAACGTGCATATATTTGCCTAGGAGAGAATGAAGCCTTTTTTATTTTGTGTTTACTCATCATAATCACTATCTGAGTCGCAAATGTATGCATGTCATTTGTCACAAGAAATCAGTTATCTTTCTAACTTGCTATTCAAACAGAGATATGTAACAGGCACTTAAGGGCGTCAGTGCAACTACTCGTTTCATGAGGGATACTACTCTTAAAAGACGCTCTGTAAAGAATCTAAGGATTCTAAAATATGCTAAATTTCAGATTTTGATTCAACCATGTTCCTGATTGCCCAGAGCTGATTGCCTCAATGAACCTGCTTTGGAACTCCTAAAAGTGGGCTATTTTGTGCCATAATTGTATTTCGATTATTTCTTCCTATTTCAATTGTTGAAAACCAACCATATAACAATCTATACAACTACATTCGCTTCCGTCGCAAAATGCTTCAAAATCGACTCCTATTTCTCACTTTAACAATCAGACTTTTATTTGCCAGCAAAATGCATGTGATATTCGGAATTAACATCAAATATTAAGTTGAATAACATAGTTCTTAATCAAAATAATTGTCTTTAAAACTTCATCTGTACTTCACTACAGTCCTTTTTTTTAGCTATTTTGTTGGTGGTTCACTCCAAGTGAAATTTTGACGAACATTGTTTCCCATTATGAACTATGTTACTGAACTCAGGTTCTGATGTTGATACCGAATACCGCATGCATTTTGTGGCTGATGACGGAAAATTCAATTTTTCCAGCAACGAAGCAATATTTTCAAAGAAATGAAGCGTTCTGTTATTGTTATACTCGTATTTTGACAATATGGATGGCATGAGTATTATTAAAATACTCTCTGACCCTTTTTGAGTGCTGTTTTTGTCGTAAATCTTACCAATAGATAGAGCCTGAAATTCTGCACTTGGAAAATTCTACTCTGTGTCAATCGTATTGAAAACGTCGCGAAGAAACAAGCAAATCAACTTTCTCAGGTCGATATCTGAATTTAGCTGACTTATGAGAAACTCCATGAGACCACCAAAGTAGACAGCCGGAGAAAACATTCTTACTTTCGATGAAGATATCTGAAACGCAATATCTCGCCGAATTATGCTCAAATCCAAAATATTAGAGCTTTCCAGCTGGAAAACGTCTCAAACGATAGAGGCCTGCCTAGACAACAAAAGCAAACTATTTGGCCGATTTGCACAATCCGTGAAAAAACGGCACATGTCAAATATCACTATTTTGAGCCAGTACGTTTTTCGTGTTTGAACATTTTGCGTTTTTTCACCGACTGTGCGAATCGACCAAATAATTTGATTTTTTTGCCTAAGCAGACCTCTATCGTTTGAGACGTTTTCCAGCTGGAAAGCTCTAATATTTTGGATTTGAGCATAATTCGGCGAGATATTGCGTTTCAGATATCTTCATCAAAAGTAAGAATGTTTTCTCCGGCTGTCTACTTTGATGATCTCATGGAGTTTTGCTGTTCCTAGACAATCATTATCGCAGCTGAATTTGACTTAAAGTGGTTCAAAATGGATTTGAATAAACTGATTTGCTTGTTTCTTTGCGATGTTTTCAATACGATTTGTTCAGAATGGGCCAGATAGTAGTTTTCTAATACCCGGACGCGGATGGCCTGTTAAGCTAGGAAACGAAATATTTAGTTGTCTACACTCAGTTTTACATGAAAAATTAGAAAAAAATCTTCAAATTTTAAAAAAGAACGCGAAAATATTTCCTAGCACGCAAAATTTCACTCATGTGCTCTTTGTTTGTAAATAATCATATTTTTGAAATTTTTTCGCCAGCAATGGCTTCTAAAAGTCTGAAAAACAGTATTTTTCCTTGATAACTTGACGAGCTCTATCCAATCATGTATAAATTTTGATTGACTTTTTTTTCTGTAATAGTATTACATTTAATGCACTTTACACTATTTGAGATTAAGCTTTGCATGAAATAATGTGTCCAAAGTAGCCCATTGATTAGTGGATACTATCAATGCATGCATGTCCCAAAAGTTCAGCACGGATATCTCTTCCAAATTTTTCGATCAGGTATCAAAAAGGACTTGAGTGAGCTGATGTTTTTACCACAAATATCACTCAGCTTACCTGACTTGTGCACCAGCCAAGTTTCAATGTAATCTGATCGGATGTGTATGTTTTCGAGACGGATACCTTTCCTCAAGGCATTGTGGCCTCATATCTATCACTCTTGCTACAATGCAATTGGTTGAGAGAATCAGTTGCAAGGAAACACCGACGAGAGAAGCTCAAAATATTAATCTCTCCTAGATGACATCGGAGACGTCACGTCTCATGGAGGCCATGGATGGCATTATCGACGATTCAGTTACCCCTATACGAACTCGTTCTCTCTTTCATCGTCTAATTGATTCATTCAAACGCACTGCATCACTACAGAATCCCTCTACCATAAAAATGAATGCAATGGGGGCTGAAGAAAGCGATACGAAAGCTGGTTTGCACCGTACATTGAAGAATCGTCACTTACAAATGATCGCTATTGGTGGGTCGATTGGCACTGGTCTATTTGTTGGATCGGGCTCGGCTTTAGCTTCAGGCGGTCCTGCTGCTCTCGTGTTGGATTTCGCCATCATCGGTTTCATGCTCTTCAACGTTTGTAAGGCTCTTGGTGAGTTGGCCGTAATCTTTCCCATCTCTGGTTCCTTTACCATCTATGGGTCTCGCTTTCTCGATCCCGCGTGGGGTTTTGCCATGGGCTGGAACTATACACTCAGTTGGTTGACTGTTATGCCGCTGGAATTGACTGCTGCTGGTATCGTCATCGACTATTGGGGTGATACATTCAATCTCGGTATCTGGATCACTATATTTCTAGTCATCTTGCTCATTATCAACTTGTTTGGAGTCCGTGGCTATGGTGAAGTCGAGTTATACATGTCCATCATAAAAATCTTAGCTCTTATCGGATTTATTATTCTCGGTATTGTCCTGACCGTAGGAGGCGGACCGACCCACGAATTTTTGGGCGGAAAGTACTGGCACGACCCCGGAGCTTTCGCGGACGGATTTAAAGGTGTATGTTCGGTGTTTGTCACTGCTGCTTTTGCATTTAACGGCACAGAATTGGTAGGCTTGGCAGCGGCCGAAACAGAAAATCCACAAAAGACTATACCACGAGCAACCAAACAAGTCTTCTGGAGAATAACTTTTTTCTACATTGTTTCTTTAACCCTGGTCGGCTGTCTCGTTCCGTACACGTCTCCACGTCTGCTTCAAAAATCATCATCGTACGACGCTTCTGCTTCCCCTTTTGTTATTGCGATGGAGAATGCAGGCATCAAAGTGTTGCCTTCCATCTTCAATGCAGTCATTTTATGTGCTGTTCTATCCGTGGCCAATTCGTCAGTCTATGGAGCATCTCGAACACTCTGTGGTCTTGCTGATGTTGGTCAAGCACCGAAGATTTTCGCTTATGTCGATCGAAAAGGTCGCCCTCTGACAGCTGTCGCTCTATCCATGCTCGTAGGCTTGGTTGCTTACGTGAATTGTGCCGAAGTAGGCATTCAAGTGTTCAACTGGCTCCTGGCTATTTCTGGCTTGTCGGCTTTCTTCACCTGGGGTTCTATATGTGCTTGTCACATTATGTTTCGACGCGCGTGGAAAGTGCAAGGTCATACATTGGATGAATTGGTCTTCAAGGCACCGTTTGGCATTTGGGGAAGCGTGTTTGGTCTTCTTCTCAACATATTATGCCTTATTGCTCAATTTTATATCGCCATATTCCCCCAGGGAGATCGTCCCAACGCAGATTTGTTCTTCCAAGCATACCTTGCTGCTCCCATTATCCTTCTATTTTACCTTGTTCGGAAGATATGGAAGAAAACACCTTTTATGACGCCGACAACAGTGGATCTCGTCACAGGCAGACGTTTTATCGATACTGTCGAGAGCATTGCTGAAGAAAGAGCGGAACGGAGGGCATGGCCATGGTGGAGGAAGATGTATTTCTTTTTGTGCTAAGCTAGCTCTGATATTTCACAATTTTCAGTGCAGTTTTCTTTTTATATTTTTCTTCTCCAACTTGTCTGTGCCAAGAGTAACTCATCATTGGCGATACATTTCCTTGTGTGTATAGGCCTTACTTGTGTGTACGTGACACATTCTATCAGTCCTGTTGTTTACCCGTCTCCGTTTATCCACGTAAGCACAACCAAATGTTACAAATAAAGCGTAATCCAAAAAATAAACAGCGGCCATGTTTTGCATCTCTTCGATAAAAACTTCCATTTCAGACAATTGACCAATCTTCGTCGACTTCATCTAGGTTCGATCTCTCAGACGCAATTGGATAAAATTAAAGGATGCGAGTGTTTATAACACTCGAATAAAATAGATTTGAAGCCGAAATACGACATGTTTCGTCCTTGCTTGGGGGATTCATCAGACGTCTTCTGATTCTAGTACTATATTAATTAAAACAATAAGATTATTAGGTGTGGGTACATAGTAGAAGAAAAATGTAGTACTCAACACTATACGGCACTACAACCACATCCTTGTGAATTATGAGAAAAAGAAAATAGATGTGGTGGTCTGGTCCCGAAAGAATAAAACGAATTAATGTTTTGCGTAAGATGGGAACAGAGAAATAATGCATGTCGTTTGTCGAATGTTTTCGAATGAAAGTACGGAACAATAGAGTTTAATACCGTAGTCAACGTAAATGAATTTTTTGTTTTTAATTAAAAAAAGGTATTTAGATTGCTAATGTTTGTAACGTTGATTTAAGAAATGAGCTTCACTTGTGTTGTAAACTCTAATTGTTTCTACCATTAGTGTCTCTCATATTTAAGGTTCGAATAAATAATCAGCACAATTTTTATTCAAATAATTTCCAATGACATATTTTTATGTAATTGAAATATCTGAAACTGCTCGACCTAAGTGATCTTGATGATAAATCTAATTAATAGCTGAATATTTTTGTTATGGAACTTGTTTATGCTTAATTTTCATATTTTGTAGCCTATGTTGCTAATTGAAAGTATATCATGCATTTTGGATGTAGAATTAGACTTCATCAAACTATTTGTGGAGTAGCTTTATATCGAAATTAATGATTTGAGAGGTTCAGCTACACTCTCAGAATTCAATGCTAACATATACTAATCAATACAGCAAAACTTTGTTTAGCATCAAGATGGCTTGATTATGAAAAAAAATGAGATTAACGTTTCTCGAAAAAGAAAAAAAACACGATAGATCATATGCAAACAGACAAGATCAAACAAGACTTATAATGCGCACTACCATCAGTTTCTCTTTTCTATTAATCTTATTTGTTCTGATAAGATTTGGCAAGAGCCATGGATAAAGATCAGGTGTGTTTCTTATTATGAGAAGCTTGTAAGATTTACGCTACAATCTTTGATTCAGAATCTGATGAAATCTTTCGAAAAATGAACTAACAAGGCCCGGCCTGATTTTATCATATAAGATCAGATAGAAAAGCTTGTATGTGCAAGATCTTACAAGGCCTTGTACGATCTGTTGTCAGATCTTTTGACCTGGGCTGTTTTTTATGTTTTAGCAGATCTTCAAAGGTTTAGAAGTATGCTTCTCTAGTTTTTCTCTCTTCTTCAAAGTGTTCTTTTTTGTTGCTCATTGTTTTCCGTGTCTTGCTTTGCCATTAAGTTAGGTATTTCACTTTGTTTCGTTTTTTTCTTTACCGGTGTGTAAGCTAGTTTTTTTTACTGTATATTTTCTTCAAAGATAATTTTTTTCCTACCGAAGTGAAGTTAATATTATTGATTACTGAAATATCAAACCACGCAACCTCAAGTTTTTCAAACCAAATCTACCCAGGTCGAAAAATCTGACACAAGATCTTATGAGATACATACAAGATCTTGGAATACGGGCGAAATCTTACAAGAATCTGGCAAAAAATCGTAGTTCCTGAGATCTTAGATCAATTCGCACAATCAGATTCTTGAAAGATCACATTGAAGAATTTCAAAATAAAGCATTGACTTGAAGAATAAAACTGAAAGAGTTCAAATAAAATTCTAAATTTTTCAAGAGAGATGACGAACAGTTGTGATACATTTTATCGTTTATTACTTAAATATATCAATCTACAAGTAACGCTCGTCTGTAAACTCGCTCAGCTCTTTCTCGTAGATATAGTACATTTTGGATCTCAACAAATCACTTATACACAGAGCTTTATGAAGCTTAGCTTTTGCAGAAAAACTTTGCATCATAAATCAGTGATTTTTTTAATTATATTTTTAATTAGAAAGAAGATACAAATGTTGCAGGCATTTTGTTGTATCAGGGTGTGGGTATTGCCTTTACTTTAAGCCTGTTCTCGCGCCCACATCCTCATAAATGATACAATCTATAGTGTGAAATATTGAGAACAAAATCTCCAAACTTTCATAAAAGAAATATATGCAATTAATTTGAGTGTAAATATATTTGAATGATAAAGTTGAATTAGTAACAACATGTTGTAAATTTCTATCCTAATTTTGCTGTCTATAACATCATACTAAAGGGGTTATATTTGAATATTGAAGTTATGTATTAGAAAATAGTTCCATGTTTGTTTGTACGAGAAAAATGAAATCTTTGAAAAAGTTTAATGCTGGTTTTTGCTGTCAAATTTAGCGCGTCTATCATTTCAGGGTTCATACCATTAGATGTAGTAAATACTTTAAGAGTTATACATAAAAATAAGCTAGTATTGAGTTTATGTAAATCACATTTAGAAAAAATAGCGTCTTATTTATCATGTTGCGGTACAACAACAAAATGAAGAACTTTCTCAATATTATCATAATATTAGCTGAGATTCAATGGATGGAGAATGGTATACTTGGTTAGTTTTTACATGTATTCAATAAGATTATGACTTTGTTTCATTATATTTATCGATCTCCTTAAATTTCATATTTGAGTTAATGGTATGTGAAATGGTATTTCGGATATTGAAAGGCAATGATTGTTCAGCGGTTTGGGTGAGACTGTTAAAGCAAATGCTGATTTAGCCGTACGTTCATTTATTCGATGACCAGGTTAGTCTCGCTCAGCATTCAAAGAAGGTGGAGGTTTACTTAAAGCAATACGAAAATATATTGAGAAACCTCGGTATATGGCTGAACGACACAATCCTGATAATTCGATAATACAAACTACTTATCAAGAAAAAATCGACGATGAAAATATGATTTATTTAATTGAGGAATAGTAAGTTGCAAACTATTTTCTTTTATTGGAGGGACTCTGTCATATATATGGAAAGATCTAAATCAAAATCAAAATCAAAAAGGGTAGACTTCCAGAGTTATTCATAAGCGCTTTTTCCATTGGTAACCGATCTACTTTAAAAGTTCTGGGAAAAATCTAATAACGAAAATTTATCTTTAGATAAACGTAATTACCGCTGGAATATTCGTCTATTTGAAACATTTAATTCATAACAAAGAACAGCTTGCCACAATATCCTATCGAAAACTGATGAAACATTAAAGGATGGTAATAAGTATGATTCGTTATATTTTCTTAAAAGCATTTTTCGGTAGAAAAACACAAGAAAGATCTTTATATTTAATACATTCTGTTTTCAGCTTCAACTATTCTTCAATCGACACCTATCTATAAATGATTCAACAATAAAAACAATAGCCACTGATACGCCAATATCATCGACTTATGTAATTGAAAAATAAATTACAAACTTCACCAAGTAATCCATTACGAATATCAGCGACATGAAAATTAATCGAAATCGAACAGCGTTATGCGGATGATCTATTAATTGTTACAAATCAATTTATAAAACCATTGAATAATGCTCGAGTTATGTATCAGAAAGTAGATTTTTCATTGGTTCACTTTATTTATTTGCGTAAGATAATTGTTCAAACAGACCGGGCCCTGTTATGGAACATGGTAATGGTAAATTGCTTGAAGAATCTTTGTTCATTCTTAACAAATCGAATTTTTCTTATAGTATTGAAAACTATTGATATCGTGAAGTATTGGTATTCAAATCTCATGGGGAAAGTTTCTATTGATAGCTGTATATGAAGACATACAAAATAAAGTCAGCACTTTTGAACACAACAATCAATGGTTAACATCAACAGCGTGATCCTGTTCGTGTCGGAATCAAGCTCCGCGATAATAAAAGATCCTCTATAAAAACCAAAATATACAAAAGACTGTTGTTTGCATAGTTTCAGACTTTGTTTTTGCTATACAATTTAACATCTTTTACACCTGATCATTATTGTGTTCAAGCCAATTTGACATGTGAAATGAAGAAATATATAAAACGAATATTTCACCATAACAAAATCTTTGAATTTTTAGTTACGGAGTTTAGTGATGATCACCAAAATTTACTAGCTGATGGCAGTAATGGTTTTTTGTGTTGTACTATGAATTCCTGTTCATTCGAAATTTTCATAGTGATTATAAATAATTTTCACTCAGATATTAACGATAACGATTGTCGTTTGATTTTCAAAAAGGTTTTATTGGTAATAAATCAAACCAATACAAAAGATTAATGAATATAATATGGATTTCAATGGACAGTCGTAGTACAAAATAAAAAGAATCATCACAGCTTTAACCTTTATCTAGTCGCGTAAGTTATCATTTCTGGTTACATTGATACTCTATGATGTTTCATAATTTATCCCATATTTCTAGAATTAGAAAAACAACGTTCGATTTGATTTTTTGCAGGATATTTTTAAACAAGACAATCGTGTCTCTGACTTTGTATACGTTTATGAACAAAAGTAAAAACAAGATTCCAATTGTTAATAAAAGAAATTGAAAAACACTAGATTACAGCTCTTAAGCAAATCTGTGGTATAATCAAAAATGTTACTAACGAAAGTGAAAAGGTTTGAAATGCAATTTTTTCACCTGTTTACTTATTCTCTAACATATTCGAGTATGATGAGTTCAAGGATAATCGCTCACAAGGTTAAGTAGTCGACGTTTGATCCCCTTGTAAAGAAAAAGAAACAGTTATTTTTATCGTTCTCGCATTTTAGTAATAGTATTGAAAAGAGAAATAACTATTCTTAGAGCCTCTTACGATTTTACAACCAGCTGATTTTCATTTTTCATAAAAACTTTTCTATGTCTACATTCATCGAAGTTAGCACCATCTTTTTTGGTTATACAGAGATTAAAATCCGATGTTTTGTCTTGCACATTTTTCATTGATATAGCAGTGATTCTCTCATAGTTTTTTTTATAAGATTGGGTGCTTTTAAAATAAAAGAGTGCGAGGCATCATATTTTACTATTGTTATCACATACACAAACGAAAGAACGATAAAACGTTTAGGTATGCTACTTCCATATTTGAGATTGATTTTAATATGTACTCATCAATAAAATGTGTCTATTATCTCAAGAAATGCGGACACTTTATCAATGTTATAAAAGTACATGTTAAAAACGATGGGAGATTTTCAGAACATAATCGTACTTCTTTTTTACTTGAGGATAGGTCCATTAATGAGTCAGTGCTATTACTAGCAGGCTTCTAAATAATTTTTTTTTATTCTAATTATATAAAATATTTTAAAAAAATCACCTCACCAGTTTAGTATCGTAATTATGCATGTTTTTGTTCTATTTTTTATTTTCTAGATAAAATAGCATTATCATCATGAGTGAAAACAATAAATTTTCTAGTTTTCTAACTGAGCCGTTAGTACAATGTGATCCTGAAATGTACGAATTGATTCGAAAAGAGAAACAACGACAGGTAAAAAGAAAATATTTAAAGAGAAGAAGATTATTTATTTTAATTAAAAATAAATGCAGATCCGTGGCTTGGAAATGATCGCATCAGAAAATTTTACATCACGTGGTGTTTTAGAAACACTTGGATCGTGTTTAACAAATAAATATAGTGAAGTGAGTTTTAAAAATTTTTTTTTCTCTTTTTTATTCCATTTAACACACGAAACCTATTTAAAGGGATATCCAGGTGTTCGATATTATGGTGGCAATGAAATAATTGATCAAATTGAAACTTTAACACAAAAACGTGCATTAAAAGCATTTGATCTTGATGAAAATCAATGGGGTGTTAATGTTCAACCATTATCGGGTTGTCCAGCCAATTTTGCTGTTTATGCTGCACTTATTGAACCACATAGTCGTATAATGGGCTTAGATTTACCTGACGGTGGCCATTTAAGTCACGGTTATGCAACACCATCAAAAAAAATTTCCATGACAAGTGTCTTTTTTGAAAATATGCCTTATAAAGTAAATCCAAAAACAGGTTTAATCGATTATGAAGAGCTAGCACATACAGCAAAATTATTCCGTCCAAAAATAATTATTGCTGGTATATCATGTTATTCACGAAATCTTGAATATGATAAATTCCGACAAGTATGTGATGATGTCGGAGCTATTTTACTTGCTGACATGGCACATGTTAGCGGTCTTGTCGCAGCCAAATGTGTTGCTGATCCATTTCTATATGCTGATATTGTTACAACAACAACACATAAAAGTTTACGTGGACCACGAGCTGCAATGATTTTCTATCGTAAAGGACCGAAACGACCAGAAGTTATTAATAAAAGTGATAATTCAGTACAAATGTATGATTATGAAAAAAAAATTAATGAAGCTATCTTTCCCGGATTACAAGGTAAAAGATATTTGTGAAAGTTTTGTTGATCATCCTATGTAAATTAGGAGCACCCTCATGTTTTACATCGATCGTTATAGAATAAAGAATAAATCTAACATCTTTGTTTTTTGTTTTAATTTAGGTGGTCCGCATAATAATGCAATTGGTGCTATTGGTGTTGCATTAAAACAAGTTGCATCAGAAGAATTCAAACTCTATGCTCAACAAGTTGTTAAAAATGCAAAACAACTTGTTCAGACACTTATAGAAAAAGGATATACATTTGTTTCTGGTGGTACTGATACACATTTAGCATTGCTTGATTTACGACCAATAGGTCTTGATGGTGCAAAAGTTGAACGTGTATTAGAGGTTGTCTCAATAGCTGTTAATAAAAATACATGCCCAGGTGATAAATCAGCATTAAAACCATCAGGCATACGTTTTGGTACACCGGCATTGACAACACGTGGCTTCCAAGAAAGTGATATTGTCCAAGTTGGCTTATTTATTGATCGCGCTGTTCAAATTGCACTTGATATCAACAGTAGTAATTCAAATCAAACGGTAAAAGACTTTAAAGCCAATATGCAAAATGAACAATATGCCAAAAAACTTGCTGAATTAAAGCACGAAATTGAAGAATTTGCTTCAAAGTTTCCAATGCCTGGTTATGAATCAATCTAAAAGTCTTTCAAGCAATAACTTTCTTTTCTTGATTTTTTTTCTTTCATAATACACATTATTATCGGGGTTTATGGTGACAATTTTTTTTCCACTTACTTAAAAATATATGCGATAAAATCTAATTTCTAGATTATATTTTCATCATATCTAACTAAGAACAATGAGTATTACGCATTGTATCTTCGATTTAGATGGCTTATTATTAGACACTGAATCAATCTATACTACCTGCATACAGAAATTATGTGCGGAATACAACAAAAACTTTACCATAGAAATAAAACTAAAAATGATGGGAAGATCATCAATAGAAGCAGGACGAATATTAATTCGTAATTTATCTATTTCACTAAAATTAAAATAAATGATCGTTAAAATTTTTATAGGTGAATTGGATTTACCAATAAATGAACAAGAATTTTTAATAAAATCAAAAGCACTTTATCTAGAAGCATTTTCAGCATCTCAACTTTTACCAGGTGCTGAGCGTCTCACTCGACATTTAGCTGCTCACAATATTCCGATAGGTAAATTTCCAAGAAAAAATCTCAATCAATACTATAACTATCTTTTAGGCATTGCTACGGGGTCTACACGTGAATTATATAATCTTAAAACTAGCACTAATCGTGAATTATTTAAAATATTTAATCCAATAATTTGTACAGAGCCAACTGAAGTACATTTCTGTAAACCAGCACCAGATATATTTCTAGCTTGTGCTAAACAATTCTCTCAACCACCTGCTTCCATGAGTCAATGTTTAGTATTTGAAGATGCTGAGAATGGTATTCGAGCTGCTCTTGCTGCTGGAATGAAAGTTGTATTTGTACCAAGTCTACCTATGAATGCATATGATCCAGACATTATTAAGCAAGCTACAATAATATTAGATAGTCTTCTTAAATTTGATCCTACTGAATTTGGTCTACCACCATTCGATGATACTTAGAATAATAGGAACTCTTTGCTTTTTGTTTACGATAATCATTGTTTACTGTATCTACTCAATGTTTTTTAATAATAAAATAGGCAAAGCCTTTGAATACAATAATAACACAATGAGAATAATAAAGAATTGTTTTAGTGCGAGGTTGATCTTCGTTAAATTTAGTTCACTTCAAAAACAACAGACATCATTTAATGAGTTCGATACAGCAATAGATACTGTTAAACATGTGCACTATTGGTTTGCTGCTGTTATTCAATTTTATTTTACACAAATCACTTCAAATAAATTTCTAACAGATCCAGCTACGTAGTTAAATCAATCATGACTTCGTCTTTAATGTTGATATGTTGAGTAAGTCAACAATGTGACATCGATTTCTTCAATAGTTAGATGGTATCCGAGTTTCACTCGAATACGAGTAATCAACGTTGAAATTAAGAAACTGGTCTTGTTCGTATGAATTTAATTTTTTTTCCAGGAATTCATCACTGTGATGGACACATAACTTTTTTATTTATCTTTATGAACACTAAATTAATTTGTTCTTACTGACTACTGATGACAATCACATATTATACGATTATGTGCAGGATCAAATCTAGTATTATATTGTGTTACACCTAGAACCAACGAAGAAACTTCTTGGCTAAATAAATCTTGTTGCTCGTAAGCATTTGATTGGTTTACTTAGAAGATATACTCTAATATTGATTTGTCAATATTTTTTACTATTGGAAAATAACAAAAACAATTTAGTGCTCAAGTTGTGATCTAAATTCCATGGACATCTTGCTAAATATATAAGACGTATTGGAGAGAGAGAGAGAGAGAATAAATGTACACTTTTTTGCTCTCTCTTCATAGAAAACAAATTACCATTTTCTTTTGGTCCAATTCTTTCCGTTCTTATTCTTTCTATTCGTGTAAACTTCCATTTATCAGCTTGGTATGTTATATGAGACGAAGCGGTAAAGAGAAAAAAGATATTTAACGTTGATTGGCTTCCTCTCAAATGATCATTAGTTTGTTGGTGAATGTTATCGTCTTTAGTTTAACTACTATTACCAATGTCATCGGCAGCAAAATCGTTTCTAATCAAAGATATTCTTTCGGAAAATGGCGATTCAACATCTTCCGATGAAAGTAATGATAATAAGGACATATTCTTAACAAAACCAATTGATCTTCGACAGTATTTTAAAAATCCATTATATCCAATAGCTTTACGTCCAAGTTCTTTATTACTAACAAAGCCAACAGGAACACCAACATTACGAAACGCATTTCGTTTGGATAAGAATTCACAAAATTCTCCATTGGATGCTCTTTTTGAAATGACGAAGAAAACATTCGACAAAACACATAAGAGTAAGTTTGTCTTTTTCGAGAACTATTTACCAGTGGCGGATCCAGAAAATCTGTTAGGAGATGGCGCTCCTGGCCAAAAAACAGTTTTTCGAGTCTATTTGAGGCAGAACGACTATTTTCTGTTGCATTTCTGGTGGGAAAAATCGAAAAAAATTTCTTAAGGGAGGTGGCGATCGTCGGGTAGCCTAACTGGTAGATCCGCCACTGCTATTTACTATTTCAGAAAATTGGGAATATTGTAATATAAAAGAAAAAAGAAAAAAGAAAAAAGAAAGAATCTTTTGATTTGTTGAATGAATTGTGTTTGTTCTTATTGGCTATTATTCATTCCGTTTTTCTTAACATTAAAACATCATTCGAAAGAGTAGTTAAACTATCTGAAGTTGTTACTCTTAGACAGTGCACTATTGCTTTTCTCATCATCAACAACTTGATCTCATTAATTGAAATCAATGTTATATAAAAAAACAGAGATTTCATTGAAATGATTTTTCATCATATTTTACTTTTCGTTATCTAATTCATTCGATTTACGGTTCGTTTAATATTTTTTAATTTGTGTCCAATTGATTATCGAACTCTTTTTAAAGGTCAAATGTCTGACATGTTGTACACCCGATAATCAATAGAAGTTCATCTCTCTCTTTCTTTTTGCCTTTTTTAATCTATACGCGTGAGCCTTGTATCGATTCGTTTTATCTTTGGTAATACGGCGAAACGAATGAATTGAATTTGAAATGAAGCATTTGGTATGCCTTTTCTTGTTTCCTATACTCAATCTTGTTGAGAAAATGAGAACAGTTACTTCAAATATGTGTATAACAATTATAACTGTTTGGACTAGAACAACAGACGTACATTGGACGAATAATGATGACAAACGAGTCGTCTTCTCTCTCTCTTCGAAAGAAAGAAAAAAGAAGAGTCTCATCATTAATCGATCTACATGGCACAAATTAATTGTTTCTTTCGGCATATCTTAGAGTGTATATATATATATTCGTACTCATAATTGGATATCACAGTGTGTTCATCTTTTTTTCTTGTTCTTCTATGTTGAATTGATATCGATCAATTTGATATATGATTATCACCCCTGTTTAGAACATAGATCATTGAAGAATATTTTTCTATCAACAAATATGATTAGCTTCTGCTGATAGACTTTCTTTCTATTCGTTCTACGTCACCGATAGGATAGCTCATTTGTCATTATACATACAACATATGTTTAAGTATTGTTTTTGATTAGATTCAATTGATTCGGATATTTCATTAAAATTAACACATGAATTACATAAAAGAAAACGACGTAAAAATCGTACAGCATTTACTGCTCAACAAATCTATTCATTGGAAAAACGTTTTACACATCAAAGATATTTAACACCCAATGATCGTGATCAAATTGCTAATGATTTACAACTTTCACCTGCTCAAGTTATTACTGTATGCTTGCTTGTTTGTTTGTTTTATAGTGAATTTCGTTTTTATTTTATTTTAGTGGTTTCAAAATAGACGTGCTAAACTTAAACGAGATTATGAAGAATTAAAAAATGATGTAAATGCGGCCCGAAAATTGCAAGCTATGGGAGAACCTGTTGATTTTAATTGATTGTTTTTTTTTTTTCATTAGTTTATTTATTAAACAATAAACGTGTGTACAAACAAAGAATATTCATAAAGATGCCAAGAAAATTCTAACAATAAGCAATAAGTAAATAAATCTATGCGATTTAGACTGATATAAAAACTTGGTAGAAAATGTTTGAACTGGAATATTTTTAGTTGAAGAAATAGAAACTTTTTCTCACAAAATATAATCTTTGATTTACTTCGAATAGCTTCTGTTCATTGCTAGTCTAGTTTGATACGAATAGAAAAGACTGCCTAAATTGACGTGGCATTCCAAAGTAACATCATCATTGTTCATAAATAGTTTAAAGATAACTAATTGTTCGTCTGCTCTTTCTACTGTGAGTTATTTTCAGTATGCTAAAATGTGTTCAAACTGAATCCGTAGAGGCCTAAATGTCAAATTCTAGCAGAAGCAATCATAAAAAAGCTTTAAATTCAAATACTATACTCTACAGTTTATAATGGCTTCTAAAAAAATGGCTGAAATTTTTGTTTAGCTACATTTCCATGGTTCAATGCAGTTTTAATTATCACATCTCTTACATTTTATCTGATTTGTGTTATATGGAAGATTTTTAACTGCTAGTTAACCTGTAGCACAAGTGTATACATTCCATATTCGACGGCTCAGAAGTATATTGACTGTAACCGAATGTAATTTAGTTCTATTTAGAAATCTTTGTTCGAAATTTCCTTGTAGAATCAAATTAAAGAACTATCGGACATTCACCATAACTTTTCAGAAACAACAACTAAAATGTAAGATTATTGTAGAGTATCAATCTATGTAAAAAACAGGACCGAGTACTTTATACTCCAGTGAAATGTGTAAATCTAAAAATATGGTTTTATTGATGGACTCTTTCCAAGGGTAACTATTGTCGTATTGATTAAAATTCACACTATTGAAATATCATCTCATTATCGATTGTACTACAATGTCGAAAAGAAACAAATGATAACCAAAAAAATGGGTGTTTTTAGTGTTACAGGAATATTGTCACATTAAAATTTAATTAGAATTTAGAATATGCAATACAGGAAATTAATTATTATATGGAAACGATTGTTACCATATATATATATATGCGCAAACTATTTTGTGCACTTGTCGATCAAAAGTTGAGATGCATGAGGCCGTAGCTTCACAAAAGAGATACTTAAAAAACAATAGCTACTGAATGATTTCATAGCTACTTGATTATTGTACAGCTGCTTCCAACTTTACTATAACTATTCAGAGATCACGTATTTATTCAAAGTTCCTGTACCTCTTTAAAGTTTCTATATCAATTAAAGCCAATCTCAGCCATATTACAAACGAGAGACAAACCTTATGAATATGTTTTTACACATTTCTCCAAAAAATCCTATAATGTACCTCTTCCTCTTTTATATCATTAATACCTCTGATATGATAAATATTTGAATATTCTAATTAATCAAATACAGATTGAGATTATGAGCACAATTTTTTTTCTATTTGAATTTGTCTGAGAAACACTATGATAAACCTCAATCAACTAATTATGAAGACTTCCAAGTTTCACTTTCTCTTTCATACATCCCTTCCAGCCCCCCGTGCTTCTTTATATCATTAATAATGTCGGTATCATAAATATTTTTGATTATGCTCATGAACTCTATATAGATTCACACTATGAATACAAAATGTCTTGTTTGAATTTTGCCTTAGAAACAATATAATGATATTCATTCAGTAGCTATACGAAAGCATTAAGTAGTTATGCTTAAGAAAATGTAGCAGACTATAGTAAAAAAAGTATCTCTTTTGAGAATGAGCCGCATGAGGCTACTTTTTTTCCTATTTTCATATATGAGAAAATGAAGAAAGAGAAAAAGAGAATAACTAGGCATCTTGAGTCATTGAAAGAATCTATTTTTCCCAATCATTCTTGTTTTATTGACTACTACGAAGAGTATGCATGCACGCGATGGATAGAAACAGGAAATGAAAGCATCTTCGTACGGACCATTTGACAAATTATTACCGCTGACTATAAAATCAATATATATGTCTATCAGAATGAAATTACAAAAACTCACATCTGAAACCTATGTTTTATCTTTTTATTATTGAAAGATTTTACAATGAGATCTGCTCAAGTGATGCGTCGTGGGCGACGAATAACAGTAACAAATAAAGAGATGCTTCAATCAATGAGCAGTTCATGTGATATTCCATCACCACCACCACCACCACCACCATCATCATCAAAAGGTCGATGTTCAACGTCATTATTTACTAACAAACAGCATCAAGATTCGCAAGCATCAAACGAAAATGATAAATCATCTGTACAGAAGTAATGTAGATGAAAATTTACGTGTTGATAATTTGTCCCGTTTTTCTATTTCTCTGGGGAAATATTAAATGCGAACATAATTGACTCATTGAGAAACACTGAAATTTTGCTTTCTTATAATCCTTTGTTTTCTGACATTTTCAGTCTTGCTGCATTATAATCTAAGCCTGATAAATATGCATGCAAAGTATTCAAAAGAAAAACAAAAACGTAATTGCTTGTTCTTCTTCTAATCGTCATTGAATCTCTACGCTATTTCATGTTTTCTACGAGTAATTGAATAGAAAATGGCATAACTATTGTTAAATGAATTTTTTTCTATCATTTATAAAAACTATATAGCTGCATATGCATTAGAATCAATATATAGAAAAATAAAGTTGGCTTTAAAAAATTATTTCATGATATCTTCTTATTTATGCATTTGAAAAACAAAAGAAATATCGATATGATGCATGCGAATGGATCGACGGATTCAAGTGCAATTCACAAGTAGGTCTCTCGTCAAATACACGTAATAAGATTCTAAATATAGATAATAATAGTAGGCAAGCGGATAAGTATTAGCGATTCTAATTCTAATTATCTATGTGGTTGACACACACAATGACATGTTTTATTAATAAGGATTTTGTTTTTGTTTTTGCTTTAGAAGAAATGCAGTGCTTCCTAGGTTTAATCCATCGTCTCAACGAGCAAGTTTTCAACAAAAAGATTTTGAAGAATTAGAAAAATCCAGGCGAAATATACAAAATTTCTACATATTTTTCTTAACACTTTTCATCGTTCTGTTTCTCTGTATTGTTTATTCATTTATTCGCATGATGACAAAGTCGGTTTAATGGGGAAAAAAAACAAATAAACGAAAATATCTCTTTGTGTTCTTATTCAAATGCATAATACCACGCTGATTGAATAACTTTCTTATCGTTTGATATAATGAAATAAACATAATCATGATTGCTACGCCATTCATAGATCCAAATTTCAGCATGATGCGGAAATGTATAAGTTTCGTTATTTCTTTTGAGTTCCGATAAAAGTACTTCATCAGGTTGATGAAGAATTTTCGTTGGTGGACCCATTAAATGTTCAATATCATGTGCTGTTGTTCCAGGACTACCCAAATGGTTTTGCAATTCAACCATTGCTCGATGACGTTCGCCACCATGGTTATCAATTGCAGGATGGTGGTCATGATTATGCCAATGGCCATGATGATGTTTTAGACGTAGATATTCATCTGACGCTGTAAGCAAACCTTTTGAAAACATTTTTTATGTTGAATGAATATCGTCGATTTTTCTTTGGAATATGAAGTACACTGTGAATAAGAGAGTCCTTGATTCATTATCCTTTAGTAAATAAATAAATAGATCAACCTTTGCAAAAAGAATAATATCTGTGTAAATGACCTTTGGTTTAAAAAAATGAATGTATTTTTAGAAAAAAGATTTGAATCATTACCTACAATAATAGATTTTTTTCTCGTTTCGATGAAAAACAATTCCTAATAGCTAATCTGTTTTTTGTCTGTTGGAAATATTTTTTTATTCTATTTTGTACCAATGAAGCATGTGTAGTGATCGATTATGAAAACCACCTATTTTTTACTATTAAATAAGTTTTCAAATCATTTTTTGGACGAGTCAATATTAAACAAAATTAATCTATCAAATCTCGAATAAAAGAAGGATATATTGAATATTTAAAACTGCTGGTCTGCCACAGTTTCTGTTAAATGTTATTGAAATAACTACTGTATTACCAGCTAAAGATAAAACAATGCTTTGCTGATAGAAGTAGTTACGATGTATGGTAAATAATGATGTTAAACGAGAATCATCTCGAAAAAGTCAATTGAGATCCACATATCATTTGATCGAGCCTTTCAATCTTTTTATAAGAACTAATTATAATATCACTCATGCAAATCAGATGCTGAATTATACCATTGGAATCCGTAGTTCAGTCAGGCCATAAATTACATTAGCTATTTCATCATAGGGAACGTTCCGAAAAAGTCACATAGAAAGTCTACAGCCTAGAAAACAATTGGTTTTCACGACAGTTGGAATTATGTTTGAAAATATAAAATAAGTCAGACACTTGTCCATTTCGGATATCTCAATTTTCTATATACAATCATTTCTTTCTAATTTAAAGTCTAGATAAATGTCTAATATGATAGAAAAATATGCTGTTGACAATAGTATTATTCCACAAACAAAACTAATGGCAAGACTGTCGTTTTTGTTATTAAATGAAACTATCTATCAATATAGTACTTCATGCAATAAGTGATTATCTAGCAACATAAAATTCATTTTATTTGTATCGAAAACTTCGAAATTCTTTTCTAATTTCATCTTAAGATTGAACAATATTTAGTCAATTTAATTGACAGCAATATTAACTGAGTACGATCGAATTTTTATCACCAAACGAAGACTCATTGAACGCGTACTCAACGACGTGCGTATCTTTCTTTTCGACTATCATGTATATATATATATGGCAATATCGGTAAATAGTTGTAAAATAAGTCTGTTATTCATATATCATTAATCATTAATCATAAACGGAGTGCTACTCCCTGCTGACAGTCACGCTGATTTGCAAACAAGTATTCAGCGAATGAAAAGAGCGAACGAATGATTTGTTTTGCCTCATCCTTTGATATAAAACGAATGAGTGATAAACAGGGTTGCCACCTGATGAAGTTCAGAAAGCGGAAAATAGCGGAAAGAAAAACAGAAAAAGCGGGAAAAAAGCGGAAGCTTATATTGTTGCAGATTTGTGGTGCTTCTGAGAATATTAGGCATTTTTTTCATATTTATTGGATTTCTTTTTATTTCATCAAAGTTTCAAAACATAAAAGAATGATGGCTCACGGTATTTGTAAACAATAAGAATTGATTCAATAATATCAAATATTATTCTGTACGTAGGTTTGATATGCAACACGTTTTATACGAAAAAGTGGAACAGCGGGAAAATAGCGGAAACTTTCCGCAAAAGGCGGAAGAGGTAGCAACCCTGGTGATAAATATACCCACAAATTGTACTAGAAATCAATTGTATGCTCTTTCTCTTGTCGACTGGTTAGTTACAGGTATCTATGATTCAATCTATTCATGAACTCATGACCATGTTACTTTTCTTTTTTTACGTGGAACTATCACAAGTATACTCTTCTGAGTAACTAGAAATAAAATTGTTATGACGCACAATCATTTATTATAAATATGTTTTGACCGAGCAAAACGATAACAGTATTCACACTTTGAATGATACTCTACAGATGTAGTTACGTTCTTCGAGAATATCTAGATATTTTGTTTATAAGACTAAATAAGAGCGCTATACAGAATATCAGACTTTAACTGAATTCAATAGCTTTTCTATTCCGAGTTATGTTCAAAGTTTGATTTGCGTATAATACTTTGGTTGTGCATCTCTAAAGGTCAGTAAGATTTCACTTGGAAAACTTACCCTTTTTCTTTTCTTAATGTTCTCATATGAATTATATGTCATAATAGTTACTAAGAGGGGCCTATAAAAACCTTATCATTCATTCAGTTATGGCTTACTTGGCTTTTTATTTGTCACTTATATGACATTTGAATGTGTTCAAAGTATCTATATTTTTAAATACGAATCTTTTGTATTGATAAATTTAAAATATGTCTAGGCGAAATGATTTTTTATTGATGCTATTCCAAGGGGGAAAAGCGCAACTTCTGTACTTCACTCGTACTTCCCTGTACTCCCATCGTACTTCGAAGTACGGAAGTCGCGCGGGGGGGGGGGGGGGGGGGGGGGGGGGGGGGGGGGGGGGGGGGGGGGGGGGGGGNAAAAGCGCAACTTCTGTACTTCACTCGTACTTCCCTGTACTCCCATCGTACTTCGAATTACGGAAGTCGCGCTTCCCCCCCCCCCTTGTGCTATTCATTATATTTGTATCACGTGAGTGAATTGCGCTGACATTATACGGTTTGACGAAAAAAATCGAAAAAAATAAAAGTAAACAGAGGATAGGTTTGACCCGTGCATTCGATAGAGCCTTATTTGTTGTACATGAGTCAACTAATTTCCCCACTGTCAGGATTTCCATTTCAGAGAAAATCGAGATCTCAAAATATATGAAAGGTCCGAGATTTCTTGACAAAAAAAAATGATGAGTAAAATGTTTTTACATGGTTATCATATATGAAACGAATCATTTTCAATCGGGAAATCCAAGAGACATGTGCAGAATTTGAGTCGCATGTATTATTCATGCATTTTCGGGAGTGTAATGCGATTGCTATTATTAAAAACGCATGTTTTTTTTTAGAAACGCGTTTTATAGCTAAGTTATTTTTAACATTGTTTCACGATAACAATGAAATGTCTAGCAATGTCTCTCAGTCGAGAGGGGGCGGTAGAAGTACAAGAAGATGAAAAAATATCATATTTTCTCTGAATATCTATCATATTAATCTGTTGTGACATTTTCTCAGTAAAATGCTATTTTCTTGCGAACGACACTTAGTTAACAGCTCAACTTTTTACCATAGATGAACCATATAGTCAGTCAAAAATGGTAAAAACATCATTGACTAATCTCTTATAGTTAGCGGGAAATCAAAAAGTCAAAATAAGAAATCTGTCGTGACATTTAGTGCGACAATAGCTACCAATCTGTTTTATTTTTACTTTTTTGTTTCATCGTGAACATTTTTTTAATTAATTTTTTAATCAAAGTATTTCTCGCGCTTTGCTCTATCAAGCACAAAAAAAGAAATTTGAGTTAGCTTGTAAGTAGCCTTTAGTAGTTACAATGTAATCTGTTGTGACAAAAAATGGCCAAAGTGTATGTTTTCATATTTTTGCAAGATTTGATCAGGAAATCAAAATTGAGATTAAGATTACTTTATATAGTTAAAAAGAGGAGAACCTGAGCTGCTAACTTTCGTAAAAGAATCTATTTATCCAGTCAGAATTGTAGGATATAAAAAGGAATTTCTGTCGATAGATCCTGTCAAACAGCTTTCGTAATGATCGTTTATGCTTGAAAAATCCCTACCACGCAAATAAAAACCTCGATAATTTTATGGTGCGTAGGATGGACTGAATGGAACATTTCAACCAAACAATTGTCCAAATCGATTGAGTAGAAGTTGAGTTATAAGATTTTTCGTGTTCGCAGAGCAACCGTATAATGTCAGCGCAATTCACTCACGTAAGTTTTACCTTTTGTTCCCCTGTTTAGATGATTTTATTTATTACCCTGTAAAACTTCATTGGTAGTTGTAGCTACGAGAACAGAATCTGCTATTATATAATACATTATTGTAATCAATCAAGAATACGACAGCGATGGAAAGAAAGGCTTTATCTGACATCAGCAAATAACACAAAAAAATCAATCAATAGGTTCATCATACGAATTCTATATACCATTTCATGCTTGTGATACCGATTTTAATCGAATTTTATTAGTACTATTGATGCTTATAGCTATTTTAATGATTTATGTGTGTTATTTTTGTCTTGAGTATTGCCAGGTGAAACAAAAATTTTATACAGGACATTTTCGAGGAGTACAACAATATAGATATATTAATGGTTCTGTACATAATCCATGTTTTTATATTTTAATTTGAATCGTTCCAAGATTCTTGAATTTTATAGGTGAGTATGACCGTAACTAGTCTAGTATTTATCTATGTCTCGGCATCATTATTTTGTAATTTGATGGATGATTGTTTTTGATAAATAGTTTTCTTTCGTGTTAATGATCAATAAAGTTTCTCCATGTCATACTCCCAGATTTTCTTTTTATTCATTTATACATGTATGTGCCTTTGTATTTTCACTGGTTCTATATGATTCGTTGATTTGTACGAAAATAAAAATGTCATGCCACTATTCCTACAATGCTTGTACACACATAGTTATGCGAACCTCTAATTACCTTATAATAGATACGAGGAATGAATAAATTAAGCATTCAGTTGGATAGATTTTGTTTTTATCTTCTTCTTCTTTTTGTTTTTGAGTAATTCAATGGTGATTGGCTACCTATAATCATTACATTCATGGTAGTAGATTGTTCTCATGAAAAAACTGCCAACTTCAATCACTATCATCTTGATAACCGCATCGAAACCGAACGGATTTTTGTATTTTTCTTTTCATGCTACCTTCTACTTTTACGTCGAAAACAAACAAACAAATGATTTATTAAAACCTTGATTTCGGCAGAGTGATGTATGCATTTTTCTCATTACTAAAAGCTAAATCATGACTATGATTTTATCTCAAACGCACGTGCTTTTCGTCAACACAACAGGCTAAAGACAAGTTTATGTTGTTCTTTCTATCACTCTTTTTTCTTGTTGAGATTAATCAAAGAAGAAAAAGAAACATACATCGTGTAAACCACGTCATGTGTACTCCAAAAAGATGTTTACCATTATCTTTTAATGGTTTTCATCCATTGTGTCATCGTAGTTCTGGGTCAAAACGAAAACATGGTAACCGAAGATCAGTCGCAACTAACCCAATTAATATAAATCAAGTGTCAGAAGATGAATTATTGTTATTACCTGGTATTAATAGATCATTAGCAAAAAACATAATTGCCTACCGAGAGAAACATAATAGTTTTAAAGACATCGATGAACTCTTACACGTTGATGGAATAACTTCACATTTATTTGACGAAATTTCTATTGATTTAATTGCTAATTCATCTGCTAATTCTTCATTACATAATGGAAACGAACTTATTGATCTAAATTTCGCATCATACGATGAATTATGTTCAGTTGCTGGTTTAACATCAACTCTTGTTAAACGTATAATTCAGCATCGAGAACGAAAAGGATTTTTTCGTTCCATTGAAGATTTACTTAAAATAAAAGGAATCAATCGTGGTGTTTTAGAAGCTATTCATCCTTTTCTTATGATTGATCATGAACAAATTCGAACATCTATCAGTAATCCTTCGTTGAACAATCTTCGTTCAATAATAAATCGAAATGATGTCAATACAAAAAATGCACTTTCAATTGTTTCACTTCTATTAGAAACATTACCAACCGAATTTCAAACTAAACTTGTCACATCGCTTTCTACACGCCCAACACGCATTATTCATAATAGCAACAACGAACAAAATAGTTTTCGTTTCGCTTCATGGAATTTACAAGAATTAACAAATGAAAAAGTACAAAATCCGGGTGTTAGAGAAGTTATATGTCGAGTTATCCTTGAAAATAAGTAAGACGTTTTCTTGTAAGAGAATTTCAGGCAAAAAAAAGAATGAACTTGTTCAAATCTGTTTTCCTGTAATTCTGCTGCTGAAATACTTGCACTAGGAATAATTTGCTGTTCGATGATATTTCATCGAATTCTGAAGACGTTCTTCTTTTGACATTGTTATTAGTGAAAATTACTCTGACTTGATTGTTGCGTCAAAATTAAATCTTGAACATATTTTATGTACATGAATATTTCCATTTGTTTAGTTTTTCATTAATTGGAATTCAAGAAATTGGAAGTAAACAATCGCTTAATGCTATTGCACAAGAATTAAACAGTCCGACTATTCCATTAGTTAAAAATTGGCCGAATCGTCCTCGTGGAAATTGGAAATCTATTGTCAGTGATGATTCTTCTGAAGTATGTCAATTAAATTTCGAAAGAAGTATTTTTCTCGTTCGTTTATGTATATATGTTTTTTTTACATTCAAAGGGATCTGAATATCTTGGATTTCTATATAATGAATTAGCTGGTATTGAAATAAAAAGATCTTCGACATTACCATTTACAGCTTATTTTAATCAATTACCAATGATTGCCATATTTCGTCTATTTAATAAATATGAATTAGTTTTTGTTAATATTCATTTGAAAACAAAAGGATTATATGAAAATGGATGTGAAAAAAAAGATGAAGCTAGATCATTGTCAGTTTTAGCACAAGCTATGAAAAATACGATTGGTAAGAGAACACGATTGAACTTGATTTATTGTTCATCGTATTTGATGTTTAAGAACAAAAGCATGTGATCATTTTTGGACACTTTGATAATGTTCCAACAGCTTCTGAATTTGAAGCATTAGCTAAATGTAATTATTCATATTTTATCCAACAAAATACTGATATTAGTTTACAAACACCACAAGGATCAAGTTGCTTAGATAATATTTGGCTCTCAGAAGAAGCAAAAGCTTTTCATACAGGTAAGATCTCTTTTGAAAAATCGAGATTCAGTCAAATGTATTTTAATAACATGAAATGCGTAGGATATATTGAATGAGAAAAAATCATAAAATAGGTTTTTAACGGTGGCTAATTTTTTCTAATTTTCTACGCAGAGAAAAATGATAATTAAAAATTCTAAAACTAGTACCACCTTTTAACAGAAATGTTTTTCTGTATATTAAAAATGCTTCACTTAGAAACTCTCTTGGTCAGACACTGAAATGTGACGTATTCTTTAAAGGGAAATAAAAAGTAAATTTCATTTAAAAATAGTTGACATAGTGACGTACAAAATAAGCAATACTGTCTCAATGGAACTCAAACTTCTAGCCTGGGTATCATGCATTTATTTAAATGTCGATTTTTCTGAAGAAAACGGAATTCCTTTAAATCAACGTCTTAATTTATCATTTTTTTAGGAAGTTCAGGGGTCATTCGTAATAATCTCACTAGTGTCTGGATTCCGGCGGGTTGGACATGGGGTGGTCTGGTTAGTGGTCATTGTCCAATATGGATGGATTTAAATTTATCTTAATTCGAAGCAAAACGATGATTCTAAAGTTTTTAATAAACATTGTATGTGTACTTATGTTCGAAATGTAAAAATGAGGCATAATACTGATTTTCATCGACAGCAGAATATGCAATGTGATACCATTGCTTCCAATAGATCATGGTTTTGGACTGAAAATGTCGCTTTCTGAAACATAAAATAATATGTTTCGTAATTCATGACATCAAGCAATTCGATTGAGAAAAGACCAATATTGAAATTTAGTCAATTCCGAATCATAAATTACTTGATTACTAATCTGATATTTTCCATTAGAACTGAAGTGTTACACTTGTTTGAATTTGCTCAGTCTTTCTTTTGAAATTCAGAAAAAAAATTTATTTTCATCTTCGAAAAACAAAACTGACACAAGTCACATTATAGCCCAGTAAACATAAACTATGTTGTAACGCAAAAATTTTCAAGCAAAACAACATGCTACAAAAACAAGCTCATACAAGACAAAAAGAGAAGCCTAAAAACAAAGAAGAAAAAAAGAAAAGGCAAAATCATGATAATGTTTCTAAACAATGAAATATCACGGAAGATTTAAAAGAAGAAAAAAAGATTAACGACGAAATTGTACTAGATAACGTAAAGCTATTTGTAATTCATCGTAGACAATATATTCATTATAATTAAGACTACAATAGCCTTTTTTCAAATCCGGATTAGCTATTAATTGACCAAGCGGCATGCGCACTCCTAACAAAAGCAAAATTCAAAATAATCGAGGACATTTCTTTTTCAAATAATACAAACCATAGTTTCGAGTAATTGTATATCGTGGATCTGGTATATTTCGACCAACACCTTTACGGCTTTGGAATCGATTCAAATCAAGTTGCTTTGCATTGTCATCGTCGTCATTTTTGTTTAAACCTACTTCTTTTATTTTACCCAAAGCAACTTCACATAATATCATAAAACAATGTTGACCATCAGTTTGTGTTATACCTGAGCAATAGCCAAGACTTTTAGCAAATGTATCTGCTGTGTAAATGCCCTAAAATAAACACAATTATTTAATATTGAAATTCGTCTAGTTAACAATCAGCATATTGTATGTTCAAATGAGATCAATGCTCTTAATTTCTACTACCCTATAAAATTTCTAGAGTAATACTAGAAGACAGTATTGGAATTTTGCTGCTAACCTACTAATATTACTTGACCTTAAATAATTCAAAAAATAACAAATATATTCCAAAACTCTATTTGAATGATCTTATCCGATATTAGATTACTCGTGTTTTATGTTTAAATATAAAAGTTAGCTACTCTAACTCTCTATTTAACATCATAAATTAATCTCTATAAAATATTCATATTTTACCTTTCCAAACAAACTTCCTGTCGTTGTTGCAGCCATAGGTTCAACAAGAAGTCCTTTACAAAGAAAAACGATGTTTAAAAATATATTTAAGAAGAAAAATCTCTTAACGTTCTACCTCTATTAAGTATACTAATTAGATTGCAAACACTAGTGCCATGCCATAATAAACAATGATTATCAAGATTCGACTTAAATAATCGTTCATCCTCATGTGATCGCGCAATTTTAAATATTTGCTCAACTTTTGTTCCTGACGCACTAGCCCATATGTAACGTAAAATTAATTGTGAATCAATATCATCTTTATTCATAGATTCAAATTGACAGTTCATTGATTTATAGAAATAATCTAAGGGTGAAATATTTTTTAAATTAGCTTGCGCTCCTAAGAATATTTTATATGACAATTCAAGTTCAATTAAATCATCAATAATTTTTTCTTGTTTTTTAACTAAAGCTTCCTTATCAATAATCGGTAATTTCCCATCAGCAAAACCACGTAATGGTATTATTGTATAATATTCATTTGTATATTTATAAATTGATTCTAAAACTGATTTCAATTCATTTTGTTGTTCAGTAGTTTTTGATTTTTGAGCATCTAAATTTAACTCTTGTTTTTTATCAAGAGCTCGTTTAATTTGTACTAATAAATCACGTGCTTTTTGTAATGTTACACGATTTAGTTGTGATACCGGCATCCATTCAATATCTAATTGCGTTTTATCAATATTCGTTCGAATAGCTTGACAATTAATTAAAGTTTTAAGAAAATTTTTAAATACAGATGATTGAAGTTTTGATGATGGATGTGCTTGTTCAGATTGTAAACGTTTAAAATCGATTGGTACATTCGAATGTTTGTATTTTTGATGGTCATTTAATTTAATTAATGCATATCTTTTAGGTTTTATTTCAAATTGATCTGTATCTTTCCAAACATTACCAGTTTTCTCACGAAATACTTTTAAGAATTCTTTTCGACATTCATCTAACGTTGAAAAGGGAGTTAATTGATATTGACCATCGTCACCAATGCGTCCCCAACGTGTAAAAAGAAAATATAGATCATTTTTACTTCTATGTTTAATAATTTGCATACGATAGAAATTATATAAACCATCTACACCATAGTTAACATCAACTTTTGTTAGACGTGCATCAAACGGTTCATTTTTATCGGTATCAGTGAGAACCTGACCTGTTATAGTCATACCAGATAAACTATCAACGTCGTATGCATTATTTTGTATCTGTGATGAATGTTTTGATAGATATTTATCGATGAATTGTTGAGCATCGGAGTAGAAATCTTGACGATCTAAAAGATTTTTGTTTGGATCATTTATATAGAAACGTTCAATTGTTGCTTGAGTAGAATCGCTTTCATCACTGGCTAATTTTGTTAGTTCATCACATAGATGTTGACAACCATTGATAGCACCATACTGTAATGGTGATAAACCAGCAAGATCATGTTTTGTTAATGATGCACCTGACGTATGAAGTAGTCGAAGTAATTCAATATTACTTGTATAAGAACCATCAGGAAATGGTTGAACTAAATGATGAATACACGTACGACCAAGAGAATCACTTGCATTCAAATCGATTGATGATGTTACTTGAAATTTATCGATTTCAGTATCATCATTATTAGATATTTCATTTGTAGTAGTAGTAGTAGTAGTAGCAGAGGTCGTTGTTATGCCAAGAAAGAACGCTTGAGGCTTTGATGTTGCTCGAAGACCTTTTCTACCAGCACGAAACGGAGCTGTTGATGCTTGATCATTTTCAGTGGGAAGATTGTAGTCTTTGTTGAGAAGTAATTTAACGATTTCAATATTGTTCTATAAATCATGAAAAGAAAAAGCCAAAAATTGCATTTTAAATAACCAGTTGGAATTCAATACATTTAAGAACAAAATACAATTAGTGAGAGATTATGAATTTACTATGTAAAATGTACAATGTCATATTCTGTCTAGACGAGAAACTATTAAATCCAAAGTTTATCTAATGAAAAATCGAAGAAACACAGTGTATTCAAATGAGACATCAACTGGAGTCTTTTTCGATACCACAACGAAAATCTATAAATAAATTCAATGGTTGTAACTCTCAATATAATATTTGATTGATTTGTTGGAACTAAACTTCTGATGGTCGAAATACTACGTTTTATTGACGTATTTTATTTTCTATGACCTTTTCAGCTAATTTTATTTAAAGTTTCACTATGTAGATTAGGTCAATAAAATAGATACCTGACGAACAGCATGCATAAGAGGCGTTCGTTTCTCTTCATCAGGAAAATTAACATCTGCACCAAGTTGAAGTAAAAATTTGACCAATGGAAAATTACTATGAATAACTGCATTAATTAATGGTGATGTTCGTACATTTGCTGAGGCATTATCGGATTTTTCCGGTGGATAAATAGCTTTTTCAATCGATGGATTTACATAACCAAATGATAATGGATTCATTGCGATTCCATTGTCATAATTGCATAGACAATCTAATTGTTTACCAGATGTTATTAATGAACTAATTTCCTTGTTGTTAAATGATTTATCCGATGCTATATTCCAAAATAATAAACTGATCGATGTATTTTCAAATGAATCGGTTTGATTTAAATTAAAGTCAATAGAATATTTCTCACGCAAGAAATTAATAAAACTAAAATTTTGTTTTACACACGCATAATGAATCGGATATGAGCCATGTTTATCTGCTAGATTCCACTCTAAATTGCACTCGTGAATGTGTAAAAGAATTTGTTGTAGTAAATTTTTATCGTATTGATTCATATTCGCTAATAAATGAAATAGATTTTGTTCCTGAGAATTTTTCTCCCGTAAAATACTTTTGTCTTTTGTACGCAATAGAAGACGAAGAACAAGATTTAATTTATTATTTAAAATGGCTGCTTCAATAATTCGTATTATACTTAAATGAAAACGATCAGGTTCATTTAATACTAATGATAATGCACCTTGCCAATCACGTTTAATGATCAAATAGATTAATGAATATTGTGCATATTGTTTATCAATTTTTACATCAACATATTTCCATTGCCAAATATCCGTATGATGTTTTTTTGATGTGTCTGTGATCAGTTTCGGCGATGAATTTTTCACAGGTACACTGTATAATTTTCCGAGATCAATATCAATAGATTGTTGAAGAAAAGCAATAAACAAATTGAGATGACCGCATTCAATACAAGTGCCAATAATTGAATTCGACAGTTTATTTTCAATAAATAAACTAGCAGAATGTTGTTGTAAAAGCATCACACAAACATTCGAACATTTAATCTATGTAGAAAACGAAAATCGGATTAGAAATCAATGTTTCCGTCATTGTTCACGTAGAGTACTTACAACGGCTAAATGTAATGGTGTATTTCCTTCATTATTTTCTGTATCGAGTGATTTATATTTCATCGCTTTCAAAATCAAAACACACAGTTCGACAGGATCATCGCCAACATTTTTATCAACGAAAACATTATGTAATGGTATATTTCCTGATTTATCTTTGATAAATAAATCGCAACCATTATCAATTAAAATTTGTTCAACATCAATTGTTGAATCAATTGCACCTGAATTATGATAAACAGCTAAATGTAATGGTGTACATTCAGATGCTCCTTGACTATTTAAATTATTATTTGCTAATTTATGTTTTTCGATCAATAAATTTAATAGATCTAAATATTGACTTGAACGATTTGATGTTGATAAATAATGATGTATTGCTTGATTATGTCGATAATCACGTGTTGATAAATCACATTGTTTATGATTTAATAGTTCTCTTATAATTGTTAATAATTGTAATCTACATGATAATATCAATGGCGTTTGTTGACGTTCTTCTTCGACTATTGATGTTGCCAAATTAATATCACATGAAGTTTCATTCAAGAGCATTTTTACTGTTTGATATTCCTGAAGAAAAATAGCTTCAAGTAAAGGTGTTCGTTGTGTTTCATGATGAAGAATATTGAGATTTTTTGTTTTTTTAAGAAAAATTTCCAGTGGATGTTTCATATTAGTATCAGCGAATGGAACAGATCGTAACAAAGAAAAAATACTTGTTTCTTTAGGTTTTGAAATTGTTTCTTCTTTGCATGTATCTTCGATAGGTTGCATATTTTTATTTGATTGGTCATCGTTGTCATTTTCATCTTCCAGATTTTGTTCGATTTCAGCAGCCTTATTCAATTCATTGGTTTCTTTAACTTCAGCATCAGAATCACATTGAACAGATTCAAGACAATACTCAATCATTTCAACAATCGATCCATATTGTTGTTTTAATTTTTCGGAAGCTAATGTTGACTAAAATAAAAAATTTTAATGATTTTCATTCAATAAATCTATTCATCTTACTTTGTTTGCTTGACAAAATTGATTGAATTTCGAAGTACAATAATGTAATGGTGTTCGACCTTTACTATCAAACATTCGACCCATTTTTTTAATCTTATCATTGATGGGCTGAAGTAAAAAAAAACATTCTTTAAAAAAATTACCAAAAGAAAAAGTAAACAAAATTACGAGTTTAGTTAATGCTTGAACAAGATCGTATTCATCACATTGAATTGCAAAATAATGTAATAAAGTTTTGCCATCATGACTTGTATCCGCATTAATTTCTACTCTAGCCATATTGATTAAATAATCAACAAGAATAAAATTGCCCGATTCAAGTGCGATCATTAAAGGTGATTGAGCTTGGTTATTCATTTTATTAGGATCACATTTATTATTCAAAAGTATTTCAGCCATTTGAAAAAAATTATCGCGAAGACTTTTCTTAGCTGCAACACTCTATGCAGAAAACAAAACTTTATTCAATCATCCATTCATAATTCTTTTTCCGACGAAAATGATGAGCATAACAACGGACAGTGAAATTTGAAATCATTTATTTCCTATTGTCCTTTTTTCTCTAGCAACTAAATATATCTTCTGAACCCGTTCTTAAAAACAAATCTCGACATTCTCAAAACATTCATCTCACCAGATAGTTTGATTGTTGGCCTGATGTATTACGTGCTAAGTAATGAAACTAAAAAAGCGAAGGGAAGCATCGAAAAATATTTTTTCAAACTGAAAAGAAAACTTACTGCATTATTTCCAGTTGCATCAACACATGCACAATCAGCTTTATGTTTTGCTGCAACATAATTTAGTTGCTGTTCTGACGATGGAGATACTGCTAACCCTACGGTTAACATAACTAATGTTAGACCATCCTCAGTTTTAAAATTAATATCGACATGATGTTCGGTAAGAAGATAATCACAAAGTCCATAATGTCCCTTTAAAAATCCAGCTCCTAAACAACTTGTTTGCCACAAATTAACACGATTAATATTTGCTCCAGCTTCAATCAACAAACGAACACAAAAATACCATCCATAAGCAATAGCATAATGTAATGCTGTGTTCAATGATGAATCATGAACGTTGGCATTGGCACCCATACGTAATAGATACGAAACAATATGAGCATTACCACACATACATGCATGAATAAGAGGTGTTCGTTTAAAACGATCACGGGCTTCAACTTTGGCACCATTTTCTATCAGATATTTAACTATATTGAAATGACCTTTCTGACAAGCTAGCATAAGCGATGTTAATTTTCCCGATGATGTACTTGTTACTACATCAACATTAGCACCGAATTCCAGTAAAACTTTGACGCATTCCTAAATAATTAAAAATAGAACTAAGGGTTGTTTTCTTTTCGAAATAGATATATTTATACCAAATGATTATTGAGTACAGCAAGATGAAGTGGATAAAATCGTGATTTGTTCATACGATTAATGGATGCAAGACCGAATGTTTGATGAACTATTTGATCCTCTGCATCATTTGATTCAGCTTTTTCTTTTGCTGTACGTAAAAATATCTCAGCATTGATTGCTCGACCATTCATAACAGCAACATGTAAAGGAGAATTACCGCCACGATCAACATCATTAAAATTAACTTGTCTTTAAATGGAAAAGATAAATAGACATTTTCAAAACTTATTCAGTCTTTACTTTGATAAAAGATATTCAAGTGGTTCTGGTCCTTCGCATGCAGCAGCAAAATGTATTGGTCGTCTTTCATATTTATCAAGAATATTATATTCAGGCATAATATTTAATAATTGTTTTAAATATTTTGAATTTGGATTAATGGCTGCGCAATGTATAGGTGTTAACTAAAAGGAAATTTATCGTTACATGATGATCAAATCGTTAGTTTAATCGATGTTCAGTAAAAATCAAAACTTACTTGACAATTATCTTTGGCTTTTTTGACCACGCTTGCTGCACGTTTTATAGTTAAATCTTCATTATTGAAGAGTAAAACCTATTGAAAAAGAAAGATTTTTAGGAATGAATTTTATGAATGAATTTAAACGAACTTGATGATGAAGATTATTAAATCCATAAAAACCATTGTCTTTTATATCGCCTATAATACGTGCAGCTAATTTTCGATAACCAGATCGAACAATGTGAAAAATTTTCTCATACACGTGATTTTGCTAAATAAACACAGCTCATAAAAAGAAACATTTATTAATTAACGAGAATATTTACTGCACGAGGAAATGCCTTGAGAAGAAAATCATAGATTTCTGGTGAGCAATTATTTGTTACTGCATATTCCATAATTCCATAATCATTACATGTGATGAATGCTCTCATTTGATCCTAGAAATGTATCATTCAAAACTATATTCGGGAAAAAAGTTCAAAATCAATTTACTTTATTCAATGCATTATTTCCTTCTTTAACATTTCGAGCTGCCATTATTTTTGCAGTTCGCAAACCTCTTGTACGAATGTTCATACTAAATTATTTGAGAATCGTTTTTTTTTCTTCTCAAGTAACAATTCGTCAAAATTCTATTAACCTTCCAGTACTTTGCGTTGCTATTGCAACCACGGGAAAAGGACATCGATCTTTTTTCGGCTTTTGTAAATCTTCAATTAAAATTTGGAGCATTTCAATATTATCATTTTTAATTGCATAATGAATAGCTGTTAAATCATTCTGGAGACCACGTGCTACATGCACCTAAAATTTAACCAGAGAAAAAAGAATAAATATTTTTTATGATACGATTGAATTTGTTTACCGAACAAACATGATCAACATCATCGATTAATGATTTTAATAGTTTTGAATCATTAATTAGTACAGCTCGGATAGCTAATTTACTTTGAACAATGGAAGAAATAAAAGGAATTGATAAACTAAATAAATGAGAATAGTTTTTTTTTTCACATATTTTTTGAAAAAATGATTCTTACCTATCTTCAAAAAACGGATCTTTTCGATAGTTTGTTATTGTTAAATTTTCCTTGAGTAAACGATTGCTTTGTACTTTAAATAACTGTGCTTTTGTTGTTGCGATAGGTTTAGTTGCTAGAAAAATGTTTAATATTGAATTTTAAAATTTTCTTGCTAAAATGCAAACCTGTCTTTTTGGTCGGCTTCTCACGTTCGGTTACATCATTGTTATCTTTTGTTCGTCGTCGTTTTTTGACAGCTAAGATAAAAAATTATTAAACTCAATTAGAATCAGTATTTTAGACAGTCTACAAACAGATGGGTCTGATATGAATTAAACGAAAGTGAGCATTTAGATCTAGGCATTTTGTCTCGATATAAAAGCTAAATCTATTATTGTTGATTAGAGTTTGGTACAATAGAATCAATTGGCATAGGAATCTTTTGAAGATGTTAAATACTGCACTATATCATGATTGAATACTAACCAGTTAGAGTTATAAAAGTGAAAAAGAAAAATTAATTTTGAATATGAACTTCTATGAAGCAAACAATTGTCTTTTATGTATTCAATACGTTCCTCGTAACCAAATTTAAGAATCAAGAACTCAACTGTCATTTTATCGTTAGAAATATCATTGATGTTGAGTTTCTGAAAACAAAAACTATTTTAGCGTCCTCAATGGTTTTGGTGATAGTACCTCGTACAATCGAGTTTCTTGGCATGTATCTACAAATTATTATGCTCAAATTTCAATAATAATAGCCATGAAATGATGGTCGTAACTGAAGAGTATGTATGAGAAATGCAAAGACTCTGCACGAATCTGATCATGTGATCGAAGCTACTAATATTATGATTTGTAATGTATACTACATGTTTGTGACTGAAAAGAAGAAGTATGAATCCTTGAGGATGAGAAAAATTGAATAAATTATTAAGTAAATTAACAACTTACAAGCAGCTTCGCCACTGATATTTCTTATTCGTTTTTTTAGCGGTTGTTTACGTGAATTTTCCGGAGAGATTTTTCGTTTTTTCGGTGCTGTTTTGAGCGGTAAAATTTTATCAATACTTGATTCGGATTCAATTTTCTCAGGTACTGTATTATTAATTTCTTTTGTTAAATCCATCGGTTCATCAGATGATATTGCTTCACCTTTAATTGATTTTTCCAACAAACGCTTTGTTTCAATAATATCTTGTTTTTTTAATGATATTGCCGTATCAGAATGACGAACGATATTTCCTATACCAGTTAATACAGTATTTGGATCAAGTGTGTCTTCATAATCTAATTTAAAACGAGTATTTTCATCAACCTTGGTTTCATCTCCATTTTCATCAACTAATGAACACCAACGGATACGAATTTTTCTCGTATCATTATAAACATCTTGTAAAACTTGACAAAGAAAAAATGAATCTTCAGGACTTCGACATGTTATAAATGTTCTATTAGAATATAGAAGTGTCCGTAAATCAGCTGACGATGATGATGACGATGATGTAGATGTTAATATTGCTCGAAGTTTTTCTTCGGATACTTTTTCAGATAATGACACTGTATCATCGCTATCATGATTGTCGTCTTCATCATCATCATTATCGATTTGAACGTTACCAAACGTAGTTGTTTGAGCATGACGATCATATTGAACGACCTGATTAATAAAAAATTATTTAAATACAATATTCATTGAATTAAAAATTATTCGAAACAGATTTATCTTACACATAATCCATAAGTTTTGTTTTTTGTCTAGTTTACATATGAAAGAGATTTCGATAATAAATATCAAACGATGATACGATTATCGATACTGCTACCTAATAATAAATTCGTACTATGCATACATTTGCTTTTAGCTCATAGAACTTTATGTCAATAAAACCTTACAAGAACAATTTTTAGTACAAAATGAAATGCGATTCGCTGCTTTTTTCAAATTGGCTAAACCCACTATAGAATATGTTTTTATATCATTTAACTAAGAAATGCGAGTCTACGCAAATTGATGATCATAGAACTAAACACTGTTTTGGTTCAAGGGCATAGATGCACATGAATAATGTCAATTTACTAATAAAATGCAAGAATATATGAGTACGATGAAAGTAACCAGAAATAGCGTATGATTCATACATGTTAAACCGACCTATACTAATATTGATAGAACGTGTGAACCAAGGAAAAAACGCATTTTCATCACACTATAAATCTGCGTCATTTAATCATGCACACATGGTCAACATTCAATTTAGTGCCTTCTATTAGAAGAAAATGAATCTAAGACTGGTTTAAATACTAGAAATATGTTTTAATTAGCATTCAGTTTAGATCGTAATTAAAATGCTCTAGTAGCTCACACATTCTCAGATGATACTAACAGTCTTTCTCTGCTGTATTATATATATTGAACTGTAAGTTCAGTTTGCAGTAGTAAAAACATCGAATGATTCTATGTTTCCTTGAAATTGTACTAATGCATAGTACTTATGATAGTGCGTGCATGTTCTAAAAGCTGCAGCTCGAACAAATAAACTCGTCAGGAGACTTTGCATTTACAAAAAATGGCATGCTATTCATAGAATATGAAAGGAAATGATGTTTAAACTAGAATGTATTTTCCTCCTCTCTATATGTATTCTGTTTCAAGCTGCAGTGACAGTCCATGTCTTTAATCCGACAGGGGATACTCGACAATGTAAAATCTTGTAGGATTTTTCTTAGTTCTACATGAAATGTTGAACAATTAACTCACATTCCAATAGTTTCCATTTAGTCCTGTAGGGGTAGCTTTTTTTCGCGGTTTTCCACTGGGATTTCTTGGGTTTGGTCGATTTTGTTTCTAAAAAAAAGTCCAACTGTTGTTCTTTTCTAATGTTTTTTTTCAATATGTATTTATTTTACGCGTTTAGTGTTAGATTTTTTCTTTCGATTCCTTTTAGTTGAAACTTTAACTGGTTCTTTGATTTCTTTTTCTTCAGCTGAAGAATGTTCATCATTTTCAGCTTCCTAAAATACAATCAAAACAAAATTTGCTCATTACTGAAAGCGAGTAACTAAATTACATCAACAATTTTTAATTTTGGTGTTTTGCCTCCAGCTGAACCTTTTTCATCATCTGAAGAATCACTTGTATCCATATTGGTTCTATGGTAGAATTCATATTTTAATGCAAAGAAACATTTGTGGTATGAAAAAAATAACTCACAGTTGAGTTTAGATAAATTGTTGAACAATTACAATTTTTAAAATAACTGAAGACATGAGAAATGTTGATATAAATACAATAAAAACATTGAGCAGAACGATAAAAAATAATTTCACCAGTATGCTGAAATTCTTTCTCTTACCGCAATGATCAGAATTTATAACTTTGTAAACTCAAGTAACACACACATATTGTGAAACATTTCTTTTTTCATTGGATGGCACAGTCTAATGAATGCAAAGATAAACACAACGATAGATGGCAATATTTTACAATTTATCAATGCATTGGAGACACACGGCAATCATATTAACGCACAAGAAAATAGTTTCAATGATAGCTATCTTGTTTAGCTGGACAAGAGCTTTCCATAAATTTTAAATAAAATCTAGCATACATGGTATCATTCACAGATGTAATCAGGTCAGAGTTTTTCTTCAAACAACATTCACTATCTTACGAACTTTTGATAGATTGATATTGGATACGTGTTGATATAGAGCTAAAACGACAGTCATGTACTCGTCAACTGTAAGTTAAAAGTCAATTTTTGGGTTTCGACACTCAAATAAACGTAACGGGTTTCCTATGAACGATGATTGAAACATAAATTTGATGTTTATCAAAGCATAGACGATATAAATTTAGTTCAAGTAATACATTTATGATGGTGCTTTTGATAAAATCAAATAAATTTTGTTGATTTGCGATATCAAACATTGAAAACAAATAAAAGAAAATACCATTAATTGTTCTTGAAGGGACACTTGAATTATTTTGATAACAGCACATCGACTTGACCTCAACAAGTTTATCAGAGGAATTTGGAATGTTCAGAAAATTTTTCTCAAGGAAAAAACGTACAACAACTTATGCGTTGCCATAACCCATTGTCGAACAGTAGACAGACATGTGTAATTGATTTGAATCTGTACTTGAATTAGTTTGCTGTAAGACAAAAAAGATGTGTATCATCTACGTGCTAAATAAACTAGTAAATTTCCCACCATGCTCATTGAACATGAACCGAAGAAAAGAGAAGAAATTGATGCTTCCTCTCATCTTTTTCTCTCCCATATATAGCCAATCGATACTCTCGCTTATGATAAACATTGACATTCGCATATTTTTCATTTCTTCTCTCTTGAAACTCAACGATACCCATAAGCATCATTTATTTTATCAATTTAATATATAAGATTATAACAATGTTTTTCTATTAATATATTTACAATGAAAATATCAATTTTACTATTCTTTACTTTAATTAATTCAAGCGAACAATGGTTGTAAGTATAATTTTCTCTCTACTTGTCAGTTAGAAATGAAAAATAGACTTGATTATATCGTGAATTTCGTTCCTCTTCGAAGAATTCAAGACACATTTTGATGCGTATATTTGTCTCGATCATTCTTCATATTAACATACATCAAAGCGTAACTATTTGAATGCAGTCAAATAATTAGTCTAAGTAAAAAACGTTACAGCTGTTGGAATAAGTGTTAGGCAATTTGTTTCAGTTTCTAGAGCTGAACAGCAGCAGCATATCTATGATGATCATATTGAGAATAATTGAGTATTACAGTTAAATTTTTAATGATGACTTTTCTCGTTGAACTGATTACAACTTACGTGAAGCTTGAAGTACAATATGAAATCACGAAATTTGCTTCATTTTACAAAGCGATCAATATTCTGTGATCAGCTTAAAATTTAAGCCTCAATGAGCGAAGAAATAATTAGATCAAAGAAAATTGTTGGACGCTTGTACTGAGACGAATTGAGTTCATTGAACACACGCATGAGAAAATAAGATCAATGATCATGAATTTTATTCGGTAGCTTTTTTTTTCTAAAATTTTTTTATTTGCCTGTAAACTAAATATTTAGTGCTCATAAAATGTAAACTTAGACGAAATATAAACATGATGATAGATTATTAATCACACTTGTAGGAAAAGTTCAAACAAATAAGATATTGTTTATCAGTTATCTTTCAACTACATACATACCGCATCTTTTCAAAAACATAAAAAAACGATGTATCTATACATTTGTTTCCTTTGATTATCTATTGACAGTCAAAAGTGATTAGATGTAATTTCGAGAGATTACGATTCCAATTCACAAAAATTTTGTACGAAAAACAAAAGTTTTAAATTTAGCGTTCTACTTTTAAATGCAATGTGTTTATACGTGGCCCGATGATTTTATTTAAGCACGACTCTTGTGCAGAGAATTGCTTATGATTATTTTCAAAATTTGTTTAGATCAATTACTCAATATTCCAATGCGTCGTTTGCAAGCGAAAATATTTGCCATAATAAGTATGGTCTTCATCCAAAACAAATTCGTTTTTGTCAACGAAATGAGAAAATCATGCCTTTTATACATTTTGGTACTAACTTAGCATTAGAACAATGTCAAATACAATTTAAAAATCGTCATTGGAATTGTACATTATTTGCACACAATAATTTAATTGGAAATATTCTTGATTCAGGTTCATTACTTTTTTCAAACTGTAAAAATGAATATAAAAATTGTTGTCTGACCGTATAGGTACAAAAGAATCAGCATATATTCATGCGTTGACATCGGCTGGTATTGCATATGCAATAACAAAAGCATGTAGTAATGGCCGATTGGATTCTTGTGGGTGTGATATGACAATAAAAGAGAAATTCTACAATCAATCGATTCGATGGGCTGGCTGTTCAGATAATGTTTTGTTTGCAACAGATATTGCAAGAAAATTTGTTAATTTTCGAGAACATAAAACCAAAAATCGGACAAGTTTATTAAATATGCATAATAATCAAGTTGGAATTCGAGTAAAGTTTCATAGTTTATTTTTTCTGTATTTTTAATCTAAGAAAACGAAAATATATATTTTATTTTTTAGATCATTCTTTCGTCTGTTGATCATCAATGTAAATGCCACGGGGTATCTGGTTCTTGTGAATTGAAATCATGTTGGCGTTCACTTCGGTCCTTTACACATATTGGGAATCAATTAAAAGAACTTTATGATAATGCCATTGAGGTTCATTTAGAAAGAAGTTTAATCGATAAAAACTTGCATTTTGTACCAAAAAACATTCCCTTCCAAAGAGAAAAACAAACAATATCAATAACATACAAGGATGCATTGATTTTTTTAAATGCAAGTCCCAATTATTGTGAATTCGATTTATCAGCTGGATCATTTGGTACAATGGGACGTGTTTGTAATCGAAGCTCACGAGCTATTGATAGTTGTGAATTACTTTGTTGTGATCGAGGCTATCAATCTCACTTAGTGACTATACGTAGTCAATGCAATTGTCGGTTTCAATGGTGTTGTTATGTTCAATGTCAAAGTTGTGTTTCAACTCAAGAAATTAGTCGTTGTTTATAAGCGAATATTCAGTTTTTTTTTGTGTTTTTGACTTTTCATAGGGCGCTGAATAAATTTTGTTTCTTTTTTTGTGTAATTTGTCCCGCTATGAAAAAAAGAGCCCTTTAGTAAAGAACGCAAAAAAAACGATTCGACCTATATATTACTAAACGAAATATATCGAGTGCGAAATCCAGTCCTGAAGTATTGGATTACATGATCGTAATTAATTAAGTTATTGCGTGGTACTTTGTATTATTTACGTATGATAGTATCGTCTTTTTATGCTTCTGATGTTCAAGGAAGAATGAGAAATCCGACTAACTAAGAATGCTCGATTGAATAAACAAGAATAATTCAAAAAGGTACACGGAGAGAAAAAAGTCTTTATAATACTCATTTAATTGGATATTCTCTTCACCAAAATAATTGAATGCGAAAGTAATATTCAACGATTCTGGTTCACGAATATCAATACAGCGTTCTTTGAAGAAGAAGAAAAAACTCGGCACCAGTGTGATGTTTCTTTGCATTCATGATAGTATAAATAGATTGTTTTATTTGTTTAGTTAATGGTATTGTTGCTCTCGTACCCGCGTCTTCTTGATCGCGGACGTTTTTTCTTAATTGTTGGAAAAAAACGTCCTCAAAGCAGAATCGGGGGGAAGTGAGCAAAAAATGTCCGCATTGTGGAATCAAACGAAAATCGATATTTTAAAATGATTCATACAAATAGGTGTACTGAATAATATCAACTGTTTCGAGGTAGTCTAGTGTTGTTCATCACATGTCATCCAGGCCATTTTATAAGCATGTATTGTGAAAGAAAAACATTTAAAGTGACGAAGTTAAACCTAGACGAATCAAATAAAAATGTCCATCGTGAAAAATGATAGCTTTTCTCAAATTTCCACACAATCTAATAAAGATGGTATGGTTTTTAAAAATTATCGTTTTCGAATGAATCTTGATTATCAACCTAACACAGTTAGATGTTCAACTATTCTTCATAAATGATTTTTCTGTATTTTTTTTCACCTAATAAATCTTGTCTTGATTCCATAATGCTGACGTTTTTTTTCTCTCCTCTCCCCTCGATTCTGCTTTGCGGACATTTTCTCTTAATTGGAGGAAAAAATGTCCGCAACCAAACTGTAGCCCTCGTACTAACTGACTTATTTGTATCTTATTTTCAGTCTCATGTGAGCATATATTCTCATTTGCGGCAACCTTTTCTTATTTTTTCATTTTCTTACGATGCAAAGGTGAGTATCTTGCAATAAGGCCTTGTAATATTCTTCCCATTTTTTACATGTTTTTTTGTCTTTCTTTCTTTCTGATTTTCATCCTTTTCGTTAGTAGACCGAATCTAGTTTCTGTTTATTGATTAAAAATATTCTCTCAAGGTGTAACATGTGAAACAGTGCATTTTTTGCCGTTCTGGATCTTTACTCTGTTTTTCTTTTCTAATCATGAAATTGCTAGTAGGCTCCGATGATGGAATGCATCCAGCCAGTACAAGAAAATCCTTCTTTCTTGCGTCTGTGGCGCAGCCAGATGAAAAATATATGATATTATTATTTTTTTACAAGTTCCAATTATATATTTTCTATTTATACTTCAGCATCAATACGTTTTTACATTCACTGAAACCCGACTATGATTGCCACCCCATGAGATTGATGTCATGTCTGCTGCTACCATGCGACAAGAGAAAATATAATAAGTATACAATTATCGACTAGACGGAAGAAAAGAAATGGGTCAAAATATCTAGGTCTATCCATTATTCCTATGAGAAATGTACCATGAGTACATGTTTCAAACTAAAACCAACTGAAGCATGCAATCGTTATGCATTTAAACGACTGACAGTTTCGTGATACAGTCATTGAAGTGATGACAATTTTTTATTGACACACTTTTCCGAGTCAATGCGTTCAGAATGATAATATAGACCATTCATTTTAATTTCTTCAGTTTGAAGTATCCTGCTTAGTTAATATAAGTTAAAACTAAACGATTCTATCATGGCTGTTCTTTCTAGATTTAATATACGTTGCTGTAATATTACAAAACATGGATAAAAATCAAACAACTGCCAATAATGACAAGGACTTAAACAAAGGTGCTCACAGTAAGTAATAGACTTTTATGATAAATGGTTGAAGCAAAAAATACTAAATGCCTCTTTCAGAACCTCAGATGGAAAATAAAATTATTTCAAGCGCATAACATGGTCAAATAATTTTCTAACGAAAAAAAGATAGAACAGATCAATTAAAAACGGGCTGGCAATGAAGTGGGTGTGTAGGGAGTGCGTCAATTTAACCTACATATACATAGGACTATAACAGTTCGGAAATAGTTCAGTTCAAAAGAACTGTTCGAACAGTTCGTTTGAACTGAACTGAACTGTTCGAACAGTTCGTTTGAACTGAACTGAACTGTTCGAACAGTTCGTTTGAACTGAACTGAACTGTTCAAACAGTTCAGTTCAGTCCAGAGGAACTGTTCAAAATTCCTCTTAACTGAACTGCACTGTTAAAAACAGTTCGTCTGAACTGAACTGAGCTGAACTGCGAACTGTTATAGTCCTACATATACACATTGACATCTATCAACATAAAGTTTTCGTACTATTATCATATTATGCTAAAGTTAAGAAAAATCAATGTTGCTAGTTGCCTTAAATTTCATGTTGATTATTAAAAAACAGAAATACACGCTTTTTTTAATTGAATTTTTTGCGAGAAAAACGTTTTTGTGCAATATCTACGGAATTACAATATAAAATTATATTGCAAAAGTTCGGTATTTGTACTTCAATTTCCTATAAAATCTGAGAAGTACAAAAAACAAATTGAGATTTCTGCTAAGTTCTGGATGAATGCAGCAGAACCTATTTTCTTTCGATCTAATTTAACAGTTATCATAAACTACCTATCAAATAAAATATATTTGTTCAATTAAGTACCGAATTTTCCAATGGCACGCACACAACCTTTACGTCCACCACCTGATTATGCGAGATTCCGCAAAGAAAATCCAATTTTGAAAGCTAAAATGTGGGATGACAGTCTTGTTTGGTTGGTAACTCGTCATGGTGATGTGTCGAAAGTGCTGTCTGATCCACGCTTCAGCAAAGTACGTACGCATCCTGGTTTTCCTGAAACTGGTCCTGGAGGTAAAGCTGCAGCACGTGCAGGTAAACCAACATTTGTCGATATGGATCCACCTGAGCATACACGTCATCGAGGCATGGTCGAACAAGATTTTACAAGCGCGAAAGCAGAAGAAATGCGACCTGCCATTCAAAAAATTGTTGATAAACTTCTGGACGAAATGCTTAAAAAAACGCAACCAGTCGATTTATTAGCTACATTTGGATTACCAGTGCCAACACTTGTCATCTATCAAATGTTAGGTGTTCCATACGAAGATCATGAATTTCTTGATACATGCAATGCCATTCGAACAAATGGTAGTGCAACATCTGCTGAGTCTTCTCAAGCAAGCAAGGATCTAATGGATTATCTTGGACGTTTGGTAAGTTATTGTTGTCAAAGCACTATAAATTTATATAGCTGTCAATTATTGACTTTTGTTTCTAAGAAATTATGTTTAAAATATTCCATCAGAGTGCATATGAGATAGACAGGACTCGGCGATACTATGTTTTGTTCATTTAGTATCAAGTATATTCTAACTTCTTTTATTTGCATTTTTTGTTTTGTTAAGGTCGACAAGAAAATGAAAAATCCAACAGATGATATCATTAGCCGTCTGGCAATCGAACAAGTTAAAACAGGCAAATTAACTCATGATGAATTGGTGGCAATGTCGTTTCTACTGTTAGTTGCGGGTAATGCAACAACAGCAAATACGATTGTTTTAGGAACACTGACACTTCTTCAGCATCCAGATCAACTGGCTGAACTTCGCAAAGATCCGTCTCTCATCAAAAGTGCCGTTGAAGAAATTTTACGTTATCTTACAGGTTCGCAATTTGCAACTCGTCGCTTGGCTCTTGAAGATGTTGAAATCGGTGGCATAACAATTAAGAAAGGCGAAGGTGTTTGGGCATTAAATGCATCTGCTAATGAAGATGAAGATGTCTTCCCAAATGCAACACGTTTTGATATTCACCGTCAGCCAAATCCTCAACTTGCTTTTGGCGATGGTATTCATGTGTGCGTAGCACAAGATTTAGCACGAGCTGAAGTACAAATTGCAATCGGTACTCTTATTCGTCGTTGTCCGAATCTTCAACTAGCAGTTCCTGCTGACGAATTACAATATGTTACGCTTGCGAAACGAGATTTTGGTGTTGCTGCATTGCCTGTCAAATGGTAAGAAAAACAAAAATTATTAATTTTACATAATCTCATGTTATACATCTCGTATCAATTCGTATTATATTGCTTTATCATTGATCTGTGTTGTATTCTCTGCGAAATAGGATACTTATAAAAAAAAAATTCTATGGGTAACTAAATGGAGAATAAAATATTGCTTTGAAATATCCCTACTGACATTACAAGAGACTCTAGTAATCAGATAAGAACATCACTGTCAAGTTTCTAGCTTGATAAATATTTGAAATAGTAATTAATCGAAAAAGAAAAATATTCTATAATCTATTTTTTTTTCTCTCTCAGGTAAAACTATGCGTCAACAGCGGATGAATTCGATCCAAAGAATGACGAGTTTTATGGAATACAAAGACAAACCTTTTATCTTACTTATCTATTTAGCTATTTAGCATAGAAAATAGCTTTTCTTCAAAACTTATTATAATAAAAATTTCGCTCAACAAAATCGATTTTTTTATGAAATCAAGAGCAAAATCAATTGAATTATCTGTGAGTATTGAAAATCACAAAAGATATTGACATTGTGCAAGATATGTGGCATCATTGATATCTTCTCGGTTTTTTCAGATATATTGGCTTATAATAACACCACGGTACCATTTGAACAAACGACAAAATAATGAATTGATTTATTTATTTATTCAAAGATAGAGTCAAAAAAGTAACAATGTTTTATTTCTCAGACACTTTTGCTATAAATAACGATTTATACGATTAAGAGTGTCCTATGAGTGACCACACACTCTGAACAGATATTTATTGTTTTATGAGCGAAAGTTTGAATTCGCACTCGCTAGCAGGTCGGGTGGAGTTGCAGTATTCTAATGTCAGTATTTGTAAAACTCGACAAACTCTATTGTACAATTATATCTCTGTATTTCTAATAGCTCTGAGAAGAATTCGATTACTGTTTAGTATTTAATAATAATACTTAATCATTAAATTATATTTAAAAATCATGTTCGGCAACATCAGCAACATCAGTGAGAAACTATCTTGCTATCTTTTTGAAACTATACAAGAATAATAATTTATAGCTTTTTTAAAAACCTTTGTTATGAAGCAATTTGTTTTATAAATGACTCATTTAGCCATATCTATCGCAATCCGATGACTTTCGTCTGCTTCGTATGCATGAAAATGAATCGTTCTGCTATTTTAATCAAGAGAATTGTTTCTTGTTTGTCACTTCATGACAAGCAAGTATCGATGCACTTGAAAACATTCGTTTTCATTATTTTGTAAAACACGATCTGAAAGGAATGTTAAAGTATATAGGGTAGAAGTTTGGATCCATCGTCCCTTACAGAGAAATTAATTAATTGGTTAATTAATTAATTATTTTCTCTGTAACGGTCTGTGATGGTTTCTAGAGACTCCATACATCATCATACAGACTGTAACAGAGAATCTCCACAGACCACCACTGGTCGTGATAGACGGATTCTAGAACAGGAGTTTCATCTTATTTCACATTTTAATCCCACAGGGATTGCGCTAACAGCTTTTATTTAATAAACAACCATGTTGAAAACGATAATAACAAAAACAGCAATAATCATTTTTATACTTTTTTTTATTAGTTAATATATGCATAAGAAATTTTAATAGAGTTCATCTATTTTAAACATAAATAATCTTCAATTAATAATTTATATTGTAGTTGATTATAAATAAAATTGAACTATCCTATTTCGTGCTGATATTGAAAATCACTGCCAAAAAATCGAAGAAAGCTGTTAAAACGGATGGAAGTTCTTACCAATTGCAAACTCATAAAAGTGCATATGTGAACTCGTTCCGATGAAGTGCATTTTCGAACGAATAGTTAAACTTTTGTTCGGAAACATCTGCATGCTTTCAATAATTTACACATTTTATAGCAAAAGAAAAAGTAACATCCATACTTCACTTACATTTTTCTTTTGTTTTGACCCTTTGTGACTTAAAACGGCACCTAAAATATAAAATGATTCAACTTTTTCCTTTTGACTTACGAGTTTTCTGATTTGTATTCCACAATCGTGGCATTAATTGAGCACCGAAAGTGCTATTTACTTTATCTCTGCCATTTATGATTTTGGTCAGTCTTTCTTTCATCTGTTTTCGTTTCCTCGGTCACCTCATCCACATTTTTGTGCCATAGCGCTATTGAGATAGACGATGCTAATGATCTGTGTGTGTACACACAGATTATAACAATCCCTAGTATCGTTGATCTGAACTGCCAATAGACCCCATCGGATTCTGATCTGACAACTTTGCTCCATATAGTACTGTTATTTTTTTAGTATTCGTTCATTTTATTCAAAAAATCTTAAACTTTTTGATAGAAAGTAGAAGATTTTGCTTCCCGATTAGAAAAATTTCTTGAGAGTTTTAAGAGTACTTTTAAATTCTAGCTTCTACAAAAACTAACCATTCAGATCCAGGTTCAAAAATCCTGATCGATCAGGTTCAGTTTCGAAGATTTCAATCAGTCGGATCTATAAATTCTTGAGCCCGATGCGTTCTAACTGCATGATTCTTTTTCGAATTCCTGACTACATCACAGTAAAATCAATACACCGAATTGCTATATCTATTTCTTCACTACTACCACTTTGATGTATCCTCAATTATTCCAAGCAAAATAAACTTTCCATATTGCTATTTCTTCAGAATATTTTGCAAGTGATTTGTCAAATTTACTAGTGCTATGTATTTGCGATTAAAGGAAAATAATGCATCCTACAGATTTTGTTGATTGATTGTAAAAATGAATCGCTGAAAACTTAGATAATCATCATATCTTATAAGACTTTCAAAAAAGCAGCGAATCTGATTGATTCTTAAATTCTCATTTTGAATATTTTTGATTAATTATTTGTATGAAATAGAAAATAAAGAACGATCAATAAAAGCAAAAGCAAAACGAAAAACTTCATAAAATTGTTTTATCTATTGGATCTAATGATATATAATGTTCGGATAATTGCTGCGATGATGTTTTAATGTGTTTGTTTATTGAAATTTGTTGGTAGCCACATTGATTTCTTAAATATTTTGAACAATGTTTTAGGCTTCTTGATTTTCTTCTTTCTTCCATAGTGGATAAATCGTTCATTTCAATAAGTGCATTACTAACATCAAGCAAACAAACCGAATTTTCAAATTCTCTGGATGTAGTATGTCGAATTTTATTTAATCTATGTTTTCGTACTTGTTTGTGTCTTGTTAAATAAGTATGAATGTCACATGCAATAGCAAGACAAGCAATAGAAACAATTAATAAAATTGCTACAATAGCAAAGGATTTAGTTGCAATTTGGAATAAAACTGTTTGCACACTTCTTTCTTCACATTGATTTCCATAATATCCATCAAAGCATAAACATTTATACGAATTCATATCATCTTTACATATACCATGATGAGAACATTTTATATTTGTACAATCATCAATATTATCTTCACAGAAATCGCCCTGAAAACCCTCTGGACACAAACATTGTTCACTTTTTTTATTATTTAAGCCAACGACTTCAATTAAAGTTCCACCATTTGTACAAAAGCCAAATGGATATTTTAAATATTGACAATGGTCACCTGATATATCCAATGGACAACTGCATTGATAACGGATTTCTGTTGATTGTTCATCAGAAGATTCTTTATCATAATCCGGCATAAGAGATGTACAAGTACCACCATTTAAACATGGACTTTCCGTTTGGCATATATCAAAAAAAAATTTTAACGGCTGATCAAGGCCACATGATTGTTTAGGCATACTCAATCGAGTAACAACTGGTCCTATATGAATCGGTTTTTGATTACCATAACGAATAGTTCCTTCAATTAGATAATAAAAACGCAATGTTTATTATTAAAAGAATAATTGAGCTCTTCTGCCATTCAAATAGTTCATTTTTGGGCAAAAAAAAGTGCAACTTATCTTTAGATACGAACACACACTGTGAAAATTTTCTATAGAATGTTACCTTCCATTGATGTGAAACTTACCATTTTTTGTAAGATTTAAATTTATTCCTAAAGTATTGTCATTCGCACAAAATTGACTGTCCAAATAAATATCAGCTGTTTCAGAATCAATTTGTTGAACGTTTATATCCATATTATCTGACTTTATCAAATTTAATTCAAATTGTTCAGCCTTAATACGGCCGATGATTAAATTCGATGGCAATTGATTGACATTATTATCTGTTTGATTCATTGATAATGAAAATTTGCTTGCATGTACGTTATCAACTTGTAAATTAATAGGTAAGCCAATAATATTTGTCGATAAGTGATTCGCTTCAATATCACCCATTGTTAAATTCGTGATTCCGGTCATATGAGAAGAAGGTGGTAATGCTATATCTAGAACAACACTTTCAGTGGTGTTTAATGAAAGATTCCATGATGATGGTGGAATATCGATTAAATTGAGATAAATACATTTTTCAGTCGAATAATTACTTGTACTATTTAATAATTCTTTAAATAATTCATTCGATAGAAGTATATTTGTTGTTAAGGAAGGTTTGATTATAAACGTTGTGTGGTCAGAAAATGTTAAATTTGAATGATAAATAGAGAATAGAGTAGAAGTTAACATGCTATGATGTACATTGGTTGTTTGCACGAATGCAACATTTGTAGTAATCGTTGATGTTCGTGATTTTCTACGCGAGTTTTTACGTTTACGAGTTCGATATGTATCGAATTCTTTTGTAGAACTCCTACTCGATTTGGTTGATGAATAAGTTATAGCGAGCGTAGAATGTTCGTCTGTAGTCGATGACGACAATGTTGATAGCTCGGTTGTTGCTTCAAATATTTGAGCAGTGGTAACTGCAAGACTCTCGTCATCATTCGAAGTTTTCAGTGTCGTATAATCAATAGTACTTGGTTCTAAAAATGTTGTAGACGTCAGTGATTCGTTAGAGACGATGGTTGAAAATTTAGATGTGAACCTATCATTATGCGTCGTCGTCGTAGTAGTAGTAGTTGGCAAAGAAGAAGATTCTTCAGAGAAAGCACTAGTGGAACTTTTCTTAGTGATATCTGTCACATGGACAGGATCAGTCATTTGTGATGCAGTAGTTGACGCTGATATTAGTTGAGTTGTTGCTAGGAATTCTCTTGAAGTTGATAATCGATTAACTTTAGTTGGCTTTGTGCTCAGAAGTGAATGTGAACGGTGAAGTGATGATGATAATGAAGAATGCATTGTGGAAATAGAAACTGTACTAGATGCAATAAACGGTGATGATGAGTATAGGGTAGCTGATACATTAGCATCTATTGACAGCAATGAAGCATTGTTTTGATTCATTTCCAATGTCATCTCTTGATTGACGACATCAGTAACTGTCATGAATGATGTTGAGTTTTCTGTCTCATTCATTGGTTGGTATGTGATTGCCGGGAATTTTTCACTAAGACTATCGTTCGAGTCATTGTTGAAGCTTGTAGTACTGCTTGCGTTTTCTATCCATGAAATCGATTCATTAGGTGGAGTTATTGTTGACGAATATAAATACCCATTCTCACTCTCACTTGGTAATGATAATGGAACAGTTGACTTGTCTTCATTGATTTCTGAAGTATCTTGCCTATTTTTCTCGTCAAAATCTTGGTCGTTATCATCTGTACTCAGCATGGTAATTGCAGTGAAGGTAGAGTTCAACGTTGAAAACTGAGTATATTCATCGAATGTGCCCGTTGATATCGTTATATTGTCTACTGAAGTAGTGTCGCCATCAATAATATTTGATGTTGTAAGCGAATTCACAAAAGTTAGATTTTGACTGTTAGATTCTAATATTTCTGACGATGTTACCGAAACTGTTTCACTAGGATCAGTTGAATAGAACGTGCTTTCTGGATATAAGCTAGAATTTGCTAATAATTCTTGTGTTATATTAGTTTGAAGTAAGGTAATTTCGTTGAGCGATAGATCATCTTTTTTATCTGGAAAACCCGCTGTAAACGCGTTAGCAGCTATTAATAATTCTAAAGAATTGATCGTCGTGTTTACATCATAAGGTATATTACCATTCGATGAATTCTTTTGAAATTCCATTAATGACACAGAAGTTTCGTATGTTGTTGAATCACTTGGCGTCGTCATAGAAGTTTCATATGTTGTTGAATCACTTGGCGTTGTCATAGAAGTTTCTTCGTCGATATTAGTAGATGTAGAAGCGAAAGGGGTATATATTTGTGCAGTGTTCGTTTTTATCGACGAGAAGTCCCATGATTGTTTTGTATTGACAACTACAGATGAGAAGGGAATGTGAGTGATGAACGGTGTAGTTATTTGTGAAAGATAATATCAAAAGCAATAGAAAACACAGGCAATTCATTTTTCCTACCCGGGGGCTGACTAATGAATACTGGTTTCTCGGGATCTAAGAGAAAAAACATTGAATAATTTTTGACAATACCAAAGTAATAAATTTACCAATAAACGAAAGAAAATGAAACATCCAATTGGATGGTTTTTTTTCAGCATCCGTTCTAACTGTAGTATAAACGTATAAAGTCGAATTCAATCTTTCAAGTGTTATCGGTAGATATGATGTTTTTGAAGATACACTACGTATTGTTGCATATTTTTGAAGAGACATTATAAATATCAATGCTCTTGTTGTTATAAATCTGAAACAAAAATGAGAAAACTTTTATCCTTCCAATCTTTCTTCTCATTATTTATCATAGTCAATTTTCATCACAAAAATTGATAGAGAGAACATTTTTTCCACGATTTGCGTCACATTCTACTTGAAATTCTCTAGAATAAGTGAACTTTTTTTCCCGCTTTTCCTCTGTTTATACATTTATGACTACGCAGTTCGAAACGTTTGATACACTTTGATTCTATATATTTAATATATTTCCTTTTCGACGGACAAAAAGCATGTCAAGATGTTCAGTATTAATGAACCACTTGCTTGAAATCAGTTTTGTTTCTAGCATACAGAAGAGTAATTTTAAAATGAAAAAGTCATGTTTTCTCAAAAATTTCATGAAACATTGAACTCTTGAATCTTTTTTGTACCTCCAAAAGTGGAAGATTTAACGAAATTACTGTAATGATCTATAATAGAACTCAAAACATTTTACAATACGTGCTTGGCTATTGTCTCAAGATATTCTAGAAATTGCATACGATTTGAGCGCACGCATCTCAAAATTCATTTTCGAGGAAACATTTTTAACTTACAAATGATTACATTCATCTGTCAGTAAACCAAATGGAGATTTGATACCATTACTTTTAATTATTTTTCCATATCGTATACGGAAATCGTGTGTTATACGCAATTCATGAATTGTATTTTCTTGTTTGTTAGCATAATAGATTATACCAGATGAAGTAGTAACCACGTTTCCTTCATTCAATGTATCAGTTAAAATAGCAGGTTCATTAATCAATATACCAGAATATGTTTTAAATATAGTATAGATAAGACCAATGTCCGTCGATATAAATAATATCGAGTTTTCAGTTCCAGCGTGATTACGCTTTATCGTAAAACCAGTAACTTGTATATCTGTTTTATTTGAAGATATTTTTAATGTTTGAACACAAATCTTCTCTTCAAATTGCAGTATAATTTTATTGAAACTCATTTCACAAACACGTAGCAATAGAATATTTGATTCTAAATGTGATTCATATACGAAAAACACATCACGATGATCATTCATTGATAATGATGTGCATGATGTAGCAAAAATAATATTCGAAGTTGGTAAATTTACAATCAGACGAATGGTTTGTGCATTGTATACGTGCAATTGATGTTTGGGCTCAATAAATATTAACAGATCATGATGAGGAGAATAAGCAAGAAAGTTCTGATTGTAAAAACGAGAGACATAATTTACGCTGGATGATATTTCAGATGTTTTATATTTGCTAAATGAAATCATCGATGTAATCTAAATACGTAGAGTTGCAACAAAAAATAATATTCAGACATTGGACAGTTTTTTCTTGTTCATGCTTAGTTGCTACTGAATTTGAGCGAAACTATCTGTCTGAAAAGTCAAGCCCTTTTCTCATAGTTTGTAATTGTAGCAATGCTGTATTCTGTTTTTATCGTAGAGAAAAAGGAAATCCATGGAGACTCCGTAGTGAATTAAGTGCTATTAATAGTGACTATAAGCTTTTAGGGAAAGATTATTATACAGATATTTGAAAATTAATCTTTCTTTTTTTTTACTTTATATATATATAATATATTTCAGGGATAAACTATTGAAATAGTCATATGACTAACCTTTGAACATGTTTGATGATTGAAAACGTTAGTATCTAAACATTGATTTATATGCTGGAATTATGAAAAAATAAAATGAAAATCTTACCAACAATCCGAATGATTTGAGCGAATAAAATTATTAAATATAAGTTGGCTAAACAACTTAACCTAAACCAGCGAAAATCATTACATTTCATTTCAAATAGAAATTTGAGAGAAAGCATACCAGACAGTAATCGTGAGTGATACCATTGTGTATATACAGGCGTGAAGCGAAAGTGATCTAATATCTGGCCGTTTTCCTTACATTGTCAGTAGCAAAGTCTTGTTTTTATTTTCGGTGAAACATAAAATACATGATCTATTAGAAATTAGTGTCCTCTGTATGAACGAATGAAAGAATGTTTATGAATTAAATTATCTCTCTTTTGTACAGCCTTCTGTTATTTATTTCTGGCCGCATCAAACGTCATGAATTGGCTACTTGACAAACTGATGTACGGTTCAGAGAGAAAGTAAGAAAAAATTCTTTATTGATGCTGTTTGAGTCTCTTGGGAAGCACTTATTCTGTGGTGTAGAAAGATGAATGATAAGAGAGAAGAAAAACGGAACTAATCTAGCTGCGGAAAAAAATAGCAGGAAAAGAAATCGACCAAAATAAGATCAGGTAAAAAATTTGGTGCAATCGGAAAGGAAGGAAAATGTAATATGATAAATATGCAACCTATCTACAGGCTTATTTTTTTTAATTATAATTTCATTCTTCTTTTTATTATAACTCATTTGTATATTTATATTACTCTATGCTATTTATCTTCAAATGAATAGAAGATAAATTTCTTACATGATTAAAAACAAGATAAATGACTATGCACATTGATTGCCATATTAATTCAAACGAAATGCATGATACTCTATCAGGTCCTTCAGGAACAATCTAAATATCAGTTTTTTTTTCTATACCGTAGAGAGATATCTGAAGGTGAAAAAACCTATTAAAAATTATTTTAACTGTTTGTTTACTCTACCAGAAGACTAAAGAGAACAAAAAAGGAAATTTAAACTGTGTCTGGCTTTTTTATTCAACTATTTCACATTAATTGTTCAACTAAAAAATACAATGTTGTATTTTTCTTTGCCAATTTACAGACGTACATTCGTCAACTTTTATGTAATTTTTAGCAAATATTGTTTTCAGCGTATTTCACTCGAAGTCATCAAGGAAATAATATTCCTGTTCGATTGGAGGAAAAAAAGTCAAGCTATCTCTGATTAGAGACATGCTGTTGGAGGTTAGTCACTGCCGATTCAATGTTACTATTGGTGTTTCGATGTTACAGGAAACGAATATATGAATAAAATCTAAGTCAAAGGAAACCTTTAACTGAAAAAAAAGATAGAATACTATGCGTTCTCTTATATGACAATCAATTGTGTCTATTTCTGTACAAAAATTATAAATAAAAGGTTGATTTTTTGCTACGAAAAATCTAAATTTCGAATACCCGGTATCATTTCTATTTCAAAACCTTGTTCAGAAATGATAATCACCATAGATCTTTGAAATGATTGACGTAGTTCCTTCAATGCATTACAGTAATTAAATCAAGAATTGGGATATTTTTTAACAAGTTGTACGCTGAAAAAGAATTCAAAAAAAGCTTGTTGACATATTTGAATAGTATGTGTTCGATTTAAAGAAAATTTTCATCGTATCACTTTTGATGAATGTTCAAGTGTGAAAATTTTCTCTTTGCCGGATATTTTAACTTATAGATATTAATAATATTTCAGAAATCATTTTATTTCTTATTAGGAACTGTCAATTTATAGTCTATTGTAATTGCTATGATGGTTAAATCATACGGAAATGAAAAAAATCCAATGGTCAACAGGCAATTCTATTTTGTTTACCATTACATTATGTTACATTATTTGTGTTGGCATATGCAAACAAGTTTGCTTTTTATTTTATAAAATAAATAATGGGAAAGAAAATCGTGCTTGTATGCCAATAGATTAAAAAACAATCATATCTATTTTATTTATTTCACTAAGAAAAATATAAAATTATTTACGGTGACACTAGCGAATAATTATGTCGATGTCTGAAAAGTGTTTCACGCCAATAACGAGCTTTTAAAACATTTGGTATGATGCGGTCATTGAGGGAAAAGTTGAATGATAATAAAAAATCTTGTGTCAGCTGCGACCAGTCATTGACAATAACTGATCTTGTTTTTGAAAATAATGGATCAAGTCCTGATGAAAGAACAATAGGAACAGCACCCATATATAAAGTCTCCCATGTTCGATGGCAATCAGTGCCACCACCAGGGGGTGATAAAACAAATTTTACATTTCCTAGCTGTTCCAAGTAAGTTTCCAATGTGATACGCTGTTTAATTACTTTTACATTGCCTATTTTTGATGCTTGTAACAAAGCTTTTGCCCGTTGAGCTTTATTATTTGCAACTTCAAAATTAACATAAAGAAGATTTGTTCGTTGAGACCACGGTTTACGATGATTTCTCAAAGCAAATGTGAATTTACGCAAATTACCATGTGGCCAATACGCATTGGCTAGTCCAATCGGAATAGGAGATAATTTTGCACGATTTCTTACACTTGGATTCGATGCATACCAAATAAGAATCTTTGGATTTAATAAATATGATTCATAAATAGCTGGTGCTGAGGCATCACTATTATGTGTAACCAATGCGAATGGTTTTTTTATGGAATCAAATGGTGACTTGAAAAAATTGAATAGATTATCAGTTTTTACAAAAATTATTTCACCATATTTAACTAAGCTTAATTTATCTTGTCTTGCTTCATCGTAAACATAATCAGCAAATGCTCGAAATGTATCACCACTGATATATGGATATGAAGAATTTCGAGCTGACGTTGCTTGACGGTAATACACAGAGACCTGATTGATTGGATTTGTTCTATTGCATAGTAAATCATAAAATGCAGTTTCATTTTTGGGCATAGTGCCATGCACGTATACAAAGCATTGAAACTTAAGTAATGGGGTAGATAAAAGAAAACAAGTGCAAGAAATACACGTTGCTAGAGGGATATAGAAAATAAAGCATCTCTGTTGAAATGAACTACAAATCAACCGATTGTATATCATATTAGTAGTATTGGAAAAAATAAATAAAAATGATTGTTACTTATCCTTTCATATCAGGAAAAATAATTTTGTTATTTTTATATAGTCGCATAAAATTTTATCGAAAAGGCAAATAGCCATAAATCAATTACAAGATTGATCTAAGACGATTATGACTTTAAACAGTTTGTGATAGTTGTAATTTAAGTCGAAGAAATCACATTTGCATTTAAATGAGTAACCATAGATCTTCTATCAAAATTAAATATTAAACGAACGTTTCATCAACTTGCAATTAAATACTATGATAAAAATGTGGAAACTTCGGATTTTATCCGAGAGTTATGTGTACTGCAAAAAGTGCATGGGACATATGAGTCATTCTGGAATGTCTGAACACCAAAATTATCACGAGAAACTAGGCAATTTGATTTCTGGATGCAGTTTTTGTACATTTTGAGACGTTTTCCAGGCGATGTTTCGTTAGAAAGCTGCGATTTAGCTCAAAACTAATATCAGATTCGGAATCAGCGTTAAAAACTGAGTCAATTTATATATGTTGTGAATAATTCTGAGAAAAATTTGTTTTTTGAAAAAATCCCTGTACCCCTCCTCAGGGATGGTCTGGTCAAAAATGATAATTTTTTCGATAACTCAACCATTTCTTATTTGCAACTTCAAAATTAACATAAAGAAGATTTGTTCGTTGAGACCACGGTTTACGATGATTTCTCAAAGCAAATGTGAATTTACGCAAATTACCATGTGGCCAATACGCATTGGGTAGTCCAATCGGAATAGGAGATAATTTTGCACGATTTCTTACACTCGGATTCGATGCATACCAAATAAGAATCTTTGGATTTAATAAATATGATTCATAAATAGCTGGTGCTGAGGCATCACTATTATGCGTAACTAATACGAATGGTTCTTTTATGGAATCAAATGGTGACTTGAAAAAATTCAATAGACTATCAGTTTTTACAAAAATAATTTCACCATATTTAACTAAGCTTAATTTATCTTGTCTTGTTTCATCGTAAACATAATCAGCAAATGCTCGAAATGCATCACCACTGATATATGGATATGAAGAATTTCGAGCTGAAGTTGCTTGACGGTAATACACAGAGACCTGATTGATTGGATTTGTTCTATTGTATAGTAAATCATAAATTGTAGTTTCATTTTTGGGCATAGTACGATGCACGCATACAAAGCATTGCAATTTAAGTAATGGGGTATATAAAAGAAAAAGAGTGCATGAAATACACATTGCTAGAGGGATATAGAAAATAAAGCATCTCTGTTGAAATGAAATACTAATCAACCGATTGTATATCATAATAGTAGTATTGGAAAAAATAAATAAAAATGATTGTTACTTATCCATTCATATCAGGAAAAATAATTTTGTTATTTTTATACAGTGACATAATGTTTTATAGAAAAAGCAAATAGCCATAAATTAATTACAAGACTGATCTAAGACGATTATGACTTTAAACAGTTTGTGATAGTTGTAATTTAAGTTGAAGAAATTACATTTGCATTTAAATGAGTAACCATAGATCTTCAATTAAAATTAAATATTAAAAAAACGTTTCATCCAGTTGCAATCAAGTACTATGATGAAAATAAAAATACCGATAGTACATTAATAAGTTATTCATATACGTTGAATAAACGATGTCGAGCCTGTATTTTTTCACATTCTATTGGTTTCGATTTTTTACGTTTACTATCATTATTCATCGTTGTTAATGTGAAGCGAAGCATAGAATTCATGGCTTTCATCACGGGTATACGTTTTTTCTCCTATACTATACATACTCATCAACGCTCACCATTTTGTGACACAATGATTACGAGAACCAAAAATAGCATTTGACTCATTTCAACACAAGGTCTTAACATCGGAACCCAGCTGTTGAAATATTTTTCGAATCGTTAGTGAAAAAATTCGTTCGATAACAAATATAGTTCCAAAATGACAAATTTGAAAGGAACTAACAATTTTCGAACAGAAATAAAGTTTATGCAACATATACTATACCCGTTAATTTAAATTTATGGAAAAATTAATCTGCATGCGATACTTTTTTTCTCTTCGTTCTGTGTGAAATAGAGCCCATCTGGCCTGAGTCTGGATCCAAAGAATCATTTTATAAGAATAATATAATTTTTCTAGTATACTTTTAGTTCTCGTTAATTTTACTCAAAAAGTAATCATAAATGAATTAAAAAAAATAGAAAGAACGAAAAATAAAACAATGGTTAAAAAAAATTTAACTATAAAATACTACTTTTTTCCTCAATTTAATGCACCCCGAAGGAACAAAAGTAACACTTTCTCCTTTTTTATTTGTTGGCAATGGTAGCTCAGCGCCAATCATTTGAAAAAATCAAACAACATTATTGCAAAAAAATATTATGCACATGTATAAATAAAGAATATTCAAATCTTTTTTTCCCAAGTAATCATGACGATGTGGATATGATGTAGAGAAATTCTTGGAAAGGCTTACATATTGTCAATTGTTTCTTTTTTTCCTATTTCTTCGGTATAACATTCATAAGACAGAGAATACTTATGTGACCGTTTTACCTGCTTAAAAGGATAAAAAAATGCTCAAGACTGTATGTGTATGTAAGAAAATGGCAGCAGTAAGCAACAGTTTGCTATAATCGCACATTGCAACGCAACTGAATTATTAGTGTTTTACAATTGTTCAATTTTTACTGCATAAATAACGTTGTTTTGCGATCCGTACCCTGTAGTGCAGAATAAATGTACACATGATAAAAGATCTTTATTTTTTATTGATGTCAATATATCATTGGGCTGTGTCGATTATTTTTAAAATTCACGAGTTAGTTACACTAGAGTGTAATCTACTGATAAGGATTTAATTTACTTCGGCTCCTCAAAGTAATAATTTCACCCACACCCATCCATTTCACATAGAAGGCAAATTCATCAAATATTTTAGAAAATGTTGTGAAAACAATTGAGTTTTAGCTGTCATCACTTCTAATAATGAAAATATGTCAGCTAATTGAATTTTGTTATGGAACGATTCACAATGTTGATATTTTGTTCATATGTTGTGACTTTTGAATCAGATAAAGTGAAAAAAGTACTTCATTTATTTATTCATTGTAAATCGATCATCATATAAACAATAGAGTTTATATTCATCAATGACATTTTATTATATAGTATACAGATTTATAATACAAAAACAAGATGAATAAAATTAATTGGTTGTTTTCAATTTCTTTTCCTCTTTTTCATCATCACTTGAATCGGCTTTTCTATGTCTTATGTGCTTTCGAATATCAGTTTTCTCATTTGGTTGCAATGATGATGATAATAATGGTATTGACTCTTTAGCAGACTGATTTTCTTCCGTATTTGCTACTGGAGCATCAGAAGTGTTTGTTTCTGGCTGTGATTTTTCTTCACCTTCATCTTCACTGGATGATGAAGCACTTTCATTTGTTTTATTGGCATTTTGGTTATCATTATGATTTTTATTTTTCGAATAAGCTTTACGTTTCAAACTAAATTTTCGAATAAAACATGAATTTCAAGCAATTAAATGTAAATAAAAACAAACCGCTTTTGTCGTTTTTTAGCTGCTTGGCTATCCGCTTTTTGTTTACTTGTTTCAACTTTTTTTAACCATTCAGCATTGGCTTCTTTCTATAAAAATAAAATAAAATAAAATGCGGAAAAAACAATTTTAGTCTATCAAATCAAATTTTACAAACAAACCTCTTTAGCTTCACGATTAAGATAGGCTTCTCGAATCATTTGACGTCGACGACAGCCCCGATAAATATCAAACTCACCTGATCCAGCACCCGCACTTGCACCTAGATAAATCATCACATAGAGAACTAGATTTAAAAACAAACAAAATATCTTTACCCATAACATTTCTTACGTATTCATGTGGTGTAAAAGCACGTGGTGTTTTCATGTCTCTTGTTTGCGGTATAAACACAGGTTTCTCCACATTCTTCATTAGACGTTCAAGACGAGCTTTTTGTATTTCAACTGAGCTCTTAAAAACTTGCTTTTTAAGTGAACGTTCTTCTTCATCGGATGACATTTTACTTTGCTTTTATCTTTATTTTGTTAATCTAAATAAATTATGGAAAACGAACAATTCTTCTTGTTTTTAATTTCATTTTTGTGTCTTTTATTCGGATGTTTTTTTTCTTTCAGTAATCAAAACAATACACAAAAATAGACACAAAACAATAAATTCTTCTTAATTCTTCTTGTGTTGTTTTCCTAAAGACGATTTTTATTTTAATTATTACGTTGATGTGCTGCTTCACGAGCTTTAACACGTTCAAGTCGGTTAATACGTGCTTGTGATTTATTGCCCAAAACACCACCACCCCAATGACGACGTAATTCATCATAACGATCATTGAAGTTCGTTTTGACGGCTTCGACCAATTTACCTAAACTAGATTTATCTTCAGAATTAACATCAGTTAAAGCCAATGATGAACAAGTTTTTAAGTGAACAAGACGACCAAGACGTGATTTGCCCTTAACAATACAATATGGAATACCCATTTTACGGCACAATGTTGGTAAATGTAAAACAAGTTCAATTGGTTCAACATCATGAGCAATGATAACCTAGAATGATCATTGAAAATCTTCGAAATGATTATTATTATTAAAATTTACCAATTGTGCTTTCTTTTTTTCAATTAAAGCAGTAACGGTATTCATTCCACTTCGAAGACCATTGGGTCGTTTTGTTGGTTTATCTGGTTTACCAGTTTTCGCTTGTTCTTCGGCACGTAATTTCAAACGAAGTTTTTTCTCTTTTTTAGTTTCTGGACGATATTTTTCAAGTAATTTAAATAATTGTGTTGATGTTTGTTTATCAAGTGCTTGTGTAAACTGATTGATTGGTGGTGGAACTTTCAAACGTTTAAGTAAAATACTACGTTGACGTTGAACACGGATATATTGTGGCCATTTAACAAAGCGTGTTAAATCACGTTTATGCTGAATATCTTATTTAAATAATATTAAATTGCATCTTTTTTAAGGATTCTTTTTTAGTTTTTGCTTACCTTGGCCAATACCAAAGTTTTTTGACCGTTTTTCAAAAAGCGGATTAGCAAGTTTTTTTGTTTCAGTCTTAGCCTTGAGTGGTGCAGCGGCTATTTTCTTTTTGCCTTTTTTTAATCCTCCACTTGATGCTGTTTTGGTTGTTGTTGTTGTCTTTTTTGTTGTTGTATTTGCACTAGCTTTTGCCGGTGACATCTTTGCGATTGATTATGATAGAAATATTCAATCTAGAAGACAATAGCGTATTTTACATCATTTTAAATATATATATATATATATAGAAAGAGAGAGAGAGAGCAATGAAACGATAACAAAACATAAAAAAATATAATATTTTATGTATTAGCATTATTATTATTATTATCGTCATCGTCGTCATCATCATCATCTTCAATGTCATCACCATCGCCATCTTCTTTTGGTGCGCTATAATATCGAAATTGTGGTTTTAACTCATAATTATGTCCCTAGAAAACAAAATGGCAAAAAATGAAAACGATCAAGAATTTTCTTTATTATCTTTGTTTACCGCATTATTGTAATTGCAATATTTTTTAACAAGCTGTTGTAAATAATTTTTCGGTTGTTGTGTTATTGTTTCAAGGGCTGACATTGAAATATATTGATTTTTTGCGAAAGCTCCAAACATGAGATTGAGTACTGTTTCTTCTGAACTTCGAACACGTTTTCCCATTAGTTTTTTCTCTCGTTCACGTTGTTTATTAGCTTCATGATCACGTTTAGGCGCATAAACATTAGTTTTCTTCGTTATCATTTGTGCTTTACGTGTTGGTTCTTGTGATGTTTCGAATTGTTTACGTTTCATCGACATATATTGTTCATTTTCAACTGGACGAACTTCGGCGCGTTGCATGACTTTACCAACTACAGCTATTTGTTCGTTCAACGGTGAATTTGGAGTTGCCGTGCGAGTATAGACAGTACGAAGAACACCATCGGATATGTTGCTTAAACTGAAATATACGAAAATAACGATTATACACTACCTAGTGTAACACTTAAGTATAGCTAAATCTTTCATGAGACTTTTCATAAGCTAACATTTCGCATAGATTAGAACAAAATCAACCTATCGTTAGAGTCAGATCTGAAACTGAAATAATTTATCTAGCACATTGTATATTGCTCACTTGTCTGTTATGAATTATTAAGACAGAACAGATACTTTATGCAGCATATAAGTCTCTTCTTTGAACGAGAAAATTAAGGCATGATCCATATTGTTCAAAGAGAATTTCAAGCTTTAGCTTACATCTGTGTGTCTATATGATTTCAAAAAAAAAATATCAATGTTTTTATTTGACATCAGCGTTTTATTGATAGATAATTCTTACCAAAATCGATGTTCTCGTGGTGGTAGTTGCTCGTCTTTGGATTGACTTTTTTCTTTAATCTTATCCATAATTTGATCGTTAAGACAAAAAAAAACATCTTGTGTTCGTGCACCAGCTGCTGCTGATGTTGATCCTTTACCGGTTAAGACTGCCGGCCGTCTAACTAAACGTCCAATTTCACCATTGATACTTCCATCGGAATATTCATTTAGAATTTGTGATAAATATTTTGGCATTTTTACAAGCCATACTCCACTTGTCGAACGTGTGACATCGACGTCGATTGGAACAGATGGATCGATTACAGACATCTAGAATACGAGAAAAATATTGCCCAAAAGGCATCATATTTATTATCAAATTTTATTTGGTGAAATAACTTTCGTAGTTAATGCTTGTTCTGTTTTTATCAATAATTGAAAATATTTTACTGAACATTACTCCTAATCAAACGATAAGTAGAAAAGTAAACAGATGCTCTATCCTTTTGAAATATCTATTTTTTCATTTATTACATGATAAAATACTATTTCAATTGACTAAGCGACATCCTCAAGATCATGTAAAAATTTAATAGATTATTAAAAAGAAAAATATAGCGACTTCATGGAAATAGTCTATCTTTGATTTATAAACTACGACTAACAATAAACGAGAATCATGTACTTCGAAGAATAAATACCATGTTTCCATTATTTACCAATAGCTACTTCGAAATGAAATGTAATACAATAAAAATGAAATCATGTTCGCCTCATTTTATCATTATATTTTTTTATAATAAAAACTTCTATTATTTTCAAATATATATTTGAGATCAAATATTTTATTATGAAACAAATCGAATATTCATGATAACCTAGTGAAAGATGTCGCTAGAACTCATCGAGCTATATGATTGAAACTAAATCATTTGGTTGCATAGTGAAAAAAATTGCCAAAAGATATATGCTGTTTCCAAAATGAAGAAATTTTCAACTTTCAAGTTTCAACCTGACAGCGATGATGTGCATAAATCATGATTCTTCATTGATGTCGGTTTGAAAGTTGAAATTTCAATTGAATTCAAGTTTCTAGTTTGACATGTCTGAATAGGCCTATCTAGCTGCTCTACTACCTTTGTCTATCTTAACAAAGACACTCATCATAATTTCTAAACTCCTATTAGTTTTCTTATATTTCTCTAACTTATTTGTATATGAATCTCATAACATTAGTCTCATAGAAAAAAGCAGATTTTAATCAACTTTTTCTGGTTGAAAATCGATTTAAATGGTACCATTCGAAAGTAATTATTTGACTTTTAATGGACCTTGACTACGATGGTCAAAGAATGAGCATCAATTAATCATTTATCTTAAAGCATGGTAGACGTACGAAAAGTTGGCCTGATGTTCCACTGACTCAACGCTTGTTCGGTTTTGTTCAAAAGTTCTACTTGAAATTCACCATAAAATAAAATGGCTTGATCTTGAATCATCATCTATGGAACGTATCCTTCATGCTACAAATTATCTTAATTTATATGGACTTACTTTATATAATATTGACTTCGAAACAGCTCAATATTTATTTACTGGCAATATTTTTTACCTCGACTAATTTTATTCAGGACATAGCAATTCTTTTCAAGCGATAAGCTGGTTTTCATATCGGAAATTTGATTTTGCTAATATAAGACTTGCCAAGTGAAGAATCGTTTGTTGGCTATATGACTGAAAAAATCATGACTTAATATGTTCATCATATGAAAGTATGAGTATCACAAAAATTAATAGAACTCCCTTTAACAATTGAATAGATCATTTAATATACTCTTAGAGATGAATTAGTTTCATCTCCCAATATAAATTATGAATGATAATACAATCATTATTATAGAAAAAAAGGTTCCTTCACAAAGAATGTGAATATTTACATTCGATAAGGGATTTTTTTGAAAGTATTTATTACATTTGAAATGTTTAAGTATGAAATCTTGGATAAGAACAAATGTATATACGATTGGAGCAACTAAAAAACTGCGGCAGCTGATGTTATGTTGGTTTCGTTTTTAACATTCATGTATATATGTTTAGGCAAAACTGCGTTAAGTGATGTATTCAAAAATCAAATTTTATCACTCACTATACAAATTATTGAAGACAAGAGGAATATTTTAACGGAATTATGAATGGAATTATATTTATAAATATCTTTACTAACCTACAATGTTTAAAATTCAGACAATCTGTATATTGGCATCCACAGATATCGTTTGGTTTTCCACTTCTAGGTGTTGTCTCTTCAACTCTGTTAGAATTGCATGCTATTTTACAAAGTTTCAACGATTGTCTCTATTTATTTGATGGACGCTTCAATCAACTTCATACTTTTCATACCCTGTTCACCACTAACAAGCGATAGTAGAGTAGATTATCTTTTATAAACATCTTATTTATCGCAATGAAGTATAATTGGTTCTCTTTTCTAGGAAAATCTGCGTAATTTGAAATGCTTTTCACTACATAGTGATCACGAAACAAGTGTTTATAACGAATTGATCGCTCCTCTCGTACATCGAATGTTGAATTTAGAAAAACTCAGTTTATATCTTATTGTTCGTAACAAGGACACATTTGTGGATGGCAATGATTTGAAGAAAAATGTTGTTAAAATTATGCCACGATTAAATCAGTGTCTATTTAACATTAACTCAAGTATTTCTCTTCGTAATCAAATTAATTTACCATCGAATGAAGATATTCAACGTACATTCAAAGATTTTCCAAATAATCATATTATTTCTTGTGTTGATCACTCCTCTGAAATTGAGCGAAGTGAATGCCATATTTATTCATATCCATATACACTGAAACGTTACGAACACATAACCAATAGTTTTCCAGGTGGATTCTTTAAAAGTGTTTGTGTTATATCATTGTTTGATGAGCGACCTTTTGAACATGAATTTTTTCTTCGAATTGCTCAATCATTTCCATGTTTGAAAGAATTAACATGAAACCTCAAAATGGTAATTTATATAAAAACTCGGAAGTTGGAAATCCAGATCTATCAATCGTTGAATATCCTCATCTTACACTGCTTGATCTTGTTGATGTCCATGAAGATTGTATTGAACAATTTCTAGTTGATACGAAGACATGTTTGTCGAACAATGTTTAAATGAAATTTGTCAAACACTACACTGATTGAAATGAACAGGAAAGAATAAGGCGGATAATAGTTCCAAATATAGATACGAAAACAAATATATTGTTACAGACGAGAAAGTATTTATCTGTTACCAGATATTCTGCAGAGAAAGACATTTCAAAATAGAAGCACAGATGAAGAATACTGATCCATATACTAAACGAAAGATAAAATAGGATTCAACGTTGTGTACAAAATTTCATGATATAAAAATAGTTTATTTTATTGGATGAGAATTATCTGAATAAGAAATTCTTGAAATTAAAATACTGCAGTTTTTTTAGTTAATGAGTATCATTGAACGTTATATCTTAAAGCTATTTTGATTGTAAACAAAGTATTAATTATACATAAACATGAAATGATACTAATAACCATAAGTATAGTTTTCCCCAAGAGAGGACAAAGGTCTTATTGCTTTTATGTATTGAAACGTCGAACCTCCGAGTAGTCTATACCAATGTCGCATTGATGGTAAAGACGAATTTGGAAGAAGCATCAAGATTCAACCACTCAAATTCTAATTCTTCATTCGTGTTCGTATAGCATGTAAAGTATTTGAGAAGAACAGCCAAAATTTTTCAGAATCCATTATTTTTCCAATGGTTAGAATAGAAATACAAATTCTGATTTTTATGCCGATCAGAAAACAAAACTTTGAGATGGAAAGGAAGATTGAAGATATTGATCATTTCAAAATAAAATATAATAAAAATGAAATAGAAAATTTCTTTTTTAACATAGTAATAAATATAAATTATGCTACGGGTTTTTTGCATTTCTATTAATGCAGTTAGTACATAAATTGAATCTGTAATATAAAACAGTAGAATAAATGATGACAACTGTAGAACTATTGGTAGAGTTTTTTCTCTACTTAGAACTAAATTGAATTCGTCAAATGAATGTTTATTTTATCAGATTTGTCAGAAAGTATGAAGTTATAACTAAAACAGCATAATAGATTTGAAATTGCTAATAATTATTCCAGCTGCCTGTAAAAATGTAAAAGTTAGTGATTTTTGGATAAATGATATGACGAAAAACAGCAAAATTAATTAATTTCTTCACCAAATAGATACAAGCTAGAGAAGTTTTCTATGTATTATGTTCAATAATGTAGAGCTCTAAGGCCTTATTCTACCTTAGGATAAGGCTAGGGTATCATTTTGAGAAATACAGGGCATTTTGGGGTGAAATTTTCATTCTGTCAATTTGGTCTGTTTAAACACCAGACTTACGATAATCTTTTCTTTGGAACAGTAGTTTCTATTCATAGGGAAATAATGAGAAAATACTTATTAGGTAATTACTTCGAGTCATGTAATAATAAATAACAATAGCTGTTTATGTCTTTCTTTTTTCTTTGCTGATATTGTTTTCAATATTTGTCGTTCATGTAAATCTCTTCTCACAACAGAAGGCCCCCGTGGAGAAAATGATGCGTCGGACATAATAAATAACATTCATAAATTAGTTAATTTCTCGAAAAATTGGAACTTTAATTAGTATGTTGCCATCAAACTATGACTATTTTTCAGGGTTTTTAGTTGAGCATTTAAAAAGAATGCGATCAGCCTTTTCCCTAGATTTTTAACAACCTAAAAATCTCTTTTCGGATCTTCCAAATAGCGTTGAATTGTTTAAGATTTATTCTCGTATATGACAGTTTATAAATTAATCTTTTGATCTTTCTTTAAAAATCATTAGAATTATTTGCCATCTGATGATTCCTTTAGCTAGGATGAAATCTATAGATTGTGGTAGCTAGTCACACACACACCCACACCCAAAAGTTGCTATATATTAGTGAACAATACATAAAATCGTACTCTGAGAAGAGTGTGCTTCGGCATTTGTCCAGTGGCTATTTTTTTTTTACTTTCAAAAGTATACGATTTTGTTGCTTTTGAAAAGGGTTGATAGAGCTAAACAATCAATGAATGATTTATATTTAGAATTGAATCCACTGTACATGAACCAATTTTTTGAAGTAGTGACTAAAAATGAGCTATTTTGTTTACAGCTTTTAGACATCAAAATTCTATCAAAACCCCCAAAAACTTAGTACCAAAATGTTTGTCGCAGCTTGCTCTTTCTGTTGACATAAAGTTCAATAACACTTACAAAGAAAAGTACCAATGGGCCGATTTGGCGTCTTATGCACCCCCGTCCTTCTCAAGTTATTTGTTACGTATATTTAAGTAATTTTCTTAAAGAACTATTTTCTAGTTCGCCATTGAAAACTAAGTTTTACATGTTATTCGATTGGTTTTCAACTGGAAGTGTCGTCCGACATAGGTTCGTTGAATAAGACCACCCAAACACGTTCTTCTGGTATCCATAGACATTTTTGAATATTTCTTAAAATTTTCACGAAGGGACCCTGTCGGATTTCTTGACTATACTCGAACATGAAAACTATATATACCGTTTTGTAGTGCTTTTAAGGAGCTACAATGTGATGTAGACGACATGTTTTCCCGATAGAGACAAGACCGACATATCATTAACATTGCAACACTATTTCATCACTATTTTATGAATAATCGATAATGATGAGTATTAGTACAACTATGATTGCTGATCATGAAAGAGGTGATTATGCGACAAACTTTCTCAGACATTGGGCACAAGTTGGGGTTAAAAACTGGAGAAGCAGTAACAAACAAATGAAATTTTGAAAGATCTATATTTTAAACCTTCGTAAAAGATCGAAGCATCGGTATTTCTTTTATGACCTGCGACAAAAGACATCAAAGCCATATGCATATCATATATATTTAATTGAGCACGGTTCTTATGAATCGATTGTGGCTTAAATCGAATACTTGTTAAAAACTGCCTATTATGCGATTGATGCAAGAGTGCAGCTGAAATTTTATTATTATACAGATTAAAATAATACGATATCAATACTGCAGTGCCATAAAAGTTTTTTATTCAAATGATTTGATGTTCTCTCTTAGCCAGTGTTCGAGTGTACGTAATGGTCGACCGATAATGATGGCTATTTCCGGAGTGGCAGTGCCACAGATGTCTTTCGAAGAAGCCAGTGCAAAATTGTATACGAATGAATGAGACATGCCGAAACTAATATGTGTCTTATAGAAGTCTTCCATTGATTGTTGTTCATATATGATAGGTTTACCCAGCACTTTGGTGAAAACAGCTGCTCGTTGTTCATTACTCAAAGTTTCACTGCCCATTTCGTAGACATTACGATCATGCTTCTCCACTGATTCACTCAAAACGATCACAGCACAGTCAGAGATATCTACCAGTGAAAAAAGAAAATATATAAATATGTCTCATATTAGAGATCAAATGACATAAAAAAATTGTTTTCAACTTCTTGTCAATGATCAATTGGCAATATGTTTTCGGTGTTCAGTGAATTTTCGTTCTTTCTACTCACCTTTTGTGTCGATCCAAGTCATTATCGACGAAGGCAATCCACAAGAGACAATTTTATTTGAGTGTTTGATATGATGAACATCGCCCATAAAATGATTGGACATGAAAGATCCAGGACGAAGTACAACAAGTGAACGTTCTTCAGAATTTTCATCAGCAAGTGTCCACAGCTTCTCTTCGGCTGAGAAATGTATATACCCGATGATACCTTTCTTACCATAGCTGCTAACAAAGGCTGAAGAGATATCGACAATTTGACGAACACCTTGTTCGAAAGCAATCTTGGCAAAAGTTCCTTTGATTTCACTCATCGATGTTGGTCTAGCACCAGAAGCAGCAACGAGAAGAAAAAGACGAGTATGTCCTTGAATAGCTTTTGTAAATATATCGACAGACGAGTAGGTACCAACGACAAACTTAAGATGACCAGTGTTCAGCTCATCTTTGAAAAGATCTTTGGCTTTCTGTTCGTCTCGTATATACGCTGTCGTATCAATTCCTCTGTTGATGAGACCACGAACAACACCACTACCAATGTTTCCAGTTGCTGCAGTCACAAACACACGTTCTTTGCTCGATGACATGTTGATCAACAGAATGAGAAGAGAAATGTTTTATGTGTGTTTTTATAAAGGACAAAATGCGTTGTATAATGACACGGTAAAAATGCGGCACGTATGTAATTAAAGTGCGATAGCGTACGCCTCGCACAAAAATATGTGATTATATAACGAAGGTCAATTTCAAATAAACAACGTTGCTAGTCTAAAACACGAAATAGCTTCATCAATTAAACCTATTGATGATCGAATACAACAAAATGGAGAAATGCTAATTAGTTGCAAAAAAATTATAATTTCAATCTCGTTTCTTAACTTATAATCGTATTTAGTATTGAGAATGAACAGTGCATCAAGTAACTTGCTGGATTAAGTTCCACGTGTCATCGAAGTTGCCCCTATCTCCGAAGGAGGTCATGAATACTATCACGATTTTGGTAACTGAGCTGAATTGAATAAACTAAGTTTTGTTGGTGACAAAGTGTAACAGAAAAATATTTATTTATTTGTAAAAGAGTGGGATAAGGGATTGGACAAGTATATGTAGTAGTATGGGATTGATCCTCTTTTCTTATAGATAAGTATCTTTCAAATGTAAACGTGGTATACAGAAAGTTTTTTTTTTAATTTACTTGTAGTGCGCCTTATACTGGTTGACAATTTAAATGTTAAATGAAAATAGAAAGAAAGAATAAGAACGAGAGATATATAAAAAGGAAGAAAAGAAAAAGGACGTTCATGATGTTATTATGAACATGAAGAAGAAGAATAAGAGTAACATGTCATCACACAACTTTTAACTATAACAGAAAAGATTCGAAAATGTAACGTTATCACATTAAATAAACGTTATAAGAGATAGTAAATTTTATAACTGAAGTGTTATTTAAATATCAAGTGATGCAGAGACATCTGATGTTACACTTTTACATGTGTTCATTATATAAAGAATATAGTTTTCACTTAAATTGGTAGTAAAAAATATTTAAATCTGAACACATTGAAGTAAAAAGTCGATTTTTTAAATATTTCATGTTCCGGTACGTGATTCATTTGGAATTGCATCCAATCATATTTACTATGTTTAGCTCTCTCGACCAAATTTAAAATTTTTTTTTCGGAACTTAGCTTTTTAATACGTTTTCTCTATTATAGTTATAGCTTGAAATGCCATCCAAGTGTGCTGATATGTAAGACCATAAACTATTTTTAATGCTGGAATAAATGTTTTTATAATTTCTTGTTGTTGGTTTTCAGAAAAAAAACTACCATGTTGTTATTAACCCGATAAAGTGGAACTCAGAGAAAGCTAAAATATTCTACATATGATAAATACTTCTTTTCTGAAAATATGAAAAAATAGTGTTTTCATTGCATTACGCGTTTTTCTTATCTTTATTAATTTATCACCGATATATTTTCTCCAGCTCAATTTTAGTATAATCGTTACTCCGAGGTATTTAAAGTAAGAAACTATTTCGATTTTTTGTTCCCTCAACTGAAGGGAGGGTCATATGGAAAAAATATGTTTACTTGTCTGTGTTTGAGGCAAACCAAAAAAAAATCTATGCAACGTGAGCTTATTTTAGAGTTTTCCGGCGTTTTTATGAACTTCGCTGTAGGTTATCGAGATCGAGGAATCTGAATCCATGATCAGATTTTTCAAATTTTGAGTTTTACATATTTTACGATCAAGAAATACATTTTTAGAAAAAAACGATTGCTTTTGAGCCACTCCACGGAAACCATTCCCGAAGGTGCTGAATCGATGTTCTCTTATTAGGGTTATTCTCTGATGTGTAATAGAAGTCTGTGTTTGATGAATTTTGCCGAAAGCAGATTCAAAAAATATTGAACCATTCGGATTTTATCGCAGTTTTACTGAAAAGGCTATAAAAACTCACTTTCACAAGGAACGATTTAGGGCACCCCAAAAACTCAGTAAAGCACCTACCTTTCGAGCTGAAATATGTTTTATATTAACATATAAGTAAGCTTCACATCTAACATAAGTTTCACGTCAAACAGAGGAGTCATTTTCTTGAAAAAATAAATACATTTAGTTAATGATCATTCTTTTTTTATTCAAAGCACATGTCTTGCAATATTATGTAACAATTAATTATCAGATGTCAGTGATCCGTGATACACTGGTTATTGGTGTTCCAATGGCATCGGTGTCAGACGGCGTTCAGTAAATACACACCGCGCATGCCTAGGGTAATTGACACTAAAAACAATTTTTCGTCGAAAAGTCGATTTTTGACTGCTATTTTCTCTTAAAAACAAGCCCTAACCTTTTTGCTCGCCTATCTAACGTTAAAGACCCCAACTTGCTCTATAACCTGGCATAGAAATAAACTTGGAACAATCAGAAACCGTTGTGAGATGAATCAATCTTTTTGAGAAAAAACAACAACTTTATGAACTTCACATTTGTATCGCAGCTTTTCCGAATATCTCGTAAATGGTTCATCTGAGAAAGTTGAGCCTTTCAGAGACGGTAAAAAGAAACACAAGCGAGCAATATTCACGGTGAAGACAAGGTCGTAGCTTACCTGCGAGATATGTCAATCTTTTTGACTGGAAGTTGGTTAAAATACACAACAGCTACTTCAGAAGGAAATGATTGATATCCAGTTAGAATGCCCTCGGATTTTTGTTCCAACCAATATCAAAATATCCTTCAAAAAACAAAAAACTGTTTCGATAAATACCCGGGCGTGACGGTGTGGGTGTGGGTGTAGGTTACAAGATGCACACCCACACCCACACCCTCAGGTTTCTGCAAATACAAAAGACAGCCTACACTATAAAAGTCAATGTATGTATATTCGTGTGAAAGTGAATCTATTTAAGAAATCTTCTAAAAAATCTAACTCACACCGAATGCATTAAAAAAAGCTATGTAAATGGTACATTTTTGCCCCAAACGGACTACGCTGATTAGTTTTTTAATAGGGAATTTCGAATAAAAACACACTTCACAACTTCTTTCATATGTGAAATATTTCTTTCAATAACAAGTTTATAAAACTAATAAATTATAATGAATTCAATCGTAAATAAATTTTATCGCTGTTTTGTTTGATTGTGACATTATAAAACGATTGTTCAATTTCCAGTATATTTTTTAATTTGTTAACGATATCTACATTTTCCAGTGGGATTTGAAGACAAATTAATGATAAATTTGAGATGCTTTTGGCCTTTTCTATCAAAATAAATCGAACAATTATTTCAGGCGGCACGGTATTATTAGAATTCACTTCCAAATATTCTATATGAGGACAGAGATCAAGAAGAATTTCAAGTTCATTTAAACTATTTATATCTTTGAGATTGATTTTGGTAATTTGATTTTGTGTTGATGCCAAATGAAAATTTGTTGTTTTTTTTAAATTGGAATACTTTAAATCTTTCAGTAGTAATGATAAAATTATCAATACACGAAGATTAGGTAGACATTTTACTAAATTGACTAATGTCTCCACTAAAATGTTCCTCCGCATTATATTCAAACAGGTGATCTGTATCTCGTTTAACATGATACCTACCCTGCTGAAAAAAGATTCATGAAGTACCCCAGAGGTTATATTGAGGACGTCTAGTTGGTCAATGGGAGAGCACCTGATTGACTCATTTTGGTTCGACAGAATGCTGTCTCGTACTTTCCTATTAACACGAAATATCACATGAGCACGAATGTTTCATGAAAATTTATATTTTACCTGAATGAATTAACGGAAACAACAATGATGTTCTTCTGGAGAGAATCTATGTCAAGATAAATTCTAAAATCCCGTATTCGTTTCGTCCAAAATAATGAATTAAAATCAATACGGTTTTCATGTGAACCAGTCGAGTTTGGATTTTCGTCAATATTAATACTAAACTGAAATTTAAATAAATTTAAATGAAGTAAATTTTTCGAAATTATTCGTTCCCATCGAGTTGCATCCAAATATGTTACATCTCTGAAACAATTCCAATGCAATACTTTCACTTGAGATGCTATTTTCGTTAAAAATGTTTCCATTTCATTGAATTCCGCATAACATCGAGTGATAAAAATCTTAGTTAAACTCATTATTGTGTTATAAACATGTTTGGCAATGTCTGTCCTTGATCTGTTTACTTCATGACAAGTTAAACGAGAGAGTTGCGGCGTACAAGAAACTATAGCAATTAAATCATCGAGACTACAACAATGACCAACGACGAGATATCGAATACTGCTGAATTTATGTTTGCCTGTTGTTAATAGAGGAATGGATGATTCAAGCGAAGAACATTGTAATTTATAATGCGTTAAAACAGGTAAATTGAAACTCGCTTGATAGATATTTGTGATTTCGCTACGATGATCACTATAATATATACTCAATGAGAATAGACGTGGCAATGAAATCAAACGAGCGAGAAGAGGTAAAAGTTGCTGTGATTTGATGTTATCTAATATTAATGACTCAAGTCGGATAAATAATGCATCAATATTACAGAATGCTAAACCCGATTGATAGAGAGATCCATGACTGAAGCTAAGTGAAGTAATTCGATGTCTGTTTGGAGTGACAATACATGTAGAACGATAATGGGAGAGATTTTCTGATTGAAGACGAAGATCTATGTTTAGAAGAAGAGATGGGCTTGTAATAAGAGTTTGGAAGCATCGATTAAGATTTGAAAATGCTTTGTATATTTCACCACCATCAAGATAATCGAAAATTTCATACAAAAGATCATTTGATAAATTCTCGAGAGAAGTAATCATTTTTCTATAAAACGAAAACAACAACAAATGAAGTTGAACATAGTTTTTGATGATTCTTACTTATCATCATATGTTGCTATTTGAATAATAATAAATAAAAACGCATTATTTAGTGACGATAATTTGTAGAGCTTACCTCGAATTTGGTTCGTCATGAATCCAACTTGGGAGTATTCAATATTACTCATTCGTTGTTTTTTTGAAAGATGCATCTTTGAGAAAAAATATTTAAATTCGTCTTATTGAACAGTTTCTATATCTATAGAGAAATGAAATTATGAAGAAATGTATTTATATGTAAAAAAATAGTATATATATATATATATGTTATAAATGTTAAATAAGTGAATGACTTCTTTGGTTGCCATAAATTTTTCTTCTTCGTATTTTTACTTGCTGAATTTTTGTAATGATTCATTTACAGCGTTGTTTTTTAATCTACATGGAAAAAAGCTCGTTGGCAGAATTGAGAATCGGAAAAAAAGTATGACGAAATAACTCAACATAAATTGTTTTGCGTCGTTTTGCATCACGTCTTCGTTTTATTGACAATGTAAAAGGAAGTAAAGACACATTGAATGATTTCGAAAGATTTAAATTGAGTTCTGAAAATTGAAACAAATATTCAAATATCATTTTATTACAACGCATATCTTCGATTATTAAGCACTAAAACTAGGTGTGACGGAGCGGCTTGTTCGTTCCTCTCTTTTATTCAGAATGAATGCTTTTTCGAGTAACAATGCTGATACGAATAATATAAACAGTGAAGAAGAAGAGAAGAGAGAAGCAAATGTAAACTAATGATTAAATGATAAGAGTGATTAATGAGTACATGCACTCTTGATGGAGTCGTGATGGATGGAATCCGTCACATACCCCTCCGCCACGATACGAATGCACCGCATGACCGTAAGAAGAAAGTGAAGGTAAATAAGAATGATGAGAAATTACAAACAACACGAAAGAATGGAAGAATAAACATGAGCTAATAACACATATGCAATTGATGAAATATAGCACAACGAAAGAAACGGAAGAAACAAAAGCAACAGACAATTGATATTGGAATAATCAATGAAACGAATCATAATAGGGAAGAGAAGAAAAGAGATTAACACATTCGTAATACAATGTGAAATGATTGCTGGAGAAGAGAATACGAGAAAAAGAGAACATATCGCTCTTTTTTTGTTTTTTGTTTTTTTTTGTTTTTGATGGTCAAAATGCTTACGACAATTCGATCATTTCGGTGTTGAAACTGGATGGTAGCTCGAATGATGATGAATTGTGTGTGGGATATCCAGAAGAATTGAGTTGCGTCGTTGGCGAAGCGGTCATACAGGGAAGATGTGTAGATGGAGCAGGTTGATGTTCGGCGGGATGGTGTTGATGATGTATGTTGGATATTGGACGTGATGTTAATCGATATGGGGCGCGACGTGTTGATAGTCGATTATGTGTGGTAGTTGGTGGGTATTGACGATGCGGATGTGAGGTGTTATGTTTGATGGAATAGGATGAGATGGTGGACGATGGAAGGGATATGAGAGGGAGAGGGTGTGCAAGAGCTTGATGAGATGTGTTTTCAGTCCGTGTGGGGCGAAGATCAAGAGACATAAGAGGTTGAAAGGATGGTGTGTGTAATGAATTAGTGGAAGAGTTAGTGATGGTGGAGGTTAATATGGGGGATAGTGTCCACGCTAATTGAATTAAGCGAATAGTGTGTGCTTGCGAAGAATTATTTTCACGAATGGTGAGAAGTGTTTCGAAGAATAATTCGTATGAGGAGGGACGAGTGGAGACAAGGGACCATGTGAGGCGTATGACATCGTCGGGATCGATGTTGTTTCGTCGGAGAAAGGCCGATGATGATATGGAATCAAGGAGGGTAATAGTAGTGAGAGCATCTGGAAGGTGAGGATGAGACGGAAAATGGCTGTTGAGCCATGCATGGATCAACGTTAAGGTGGAGTCAATGGGGGGAAAGGAAGAGAAGCTAATGGCCTGTGATGTTTTGATGTTATGCCATATACATGCGATTAGATCGACAGGTTGTTGCTCATTTATAGATGCCATGTTCTATAAGGAAAGTGGTTGTATATTAAAGTGGAGGATGGAATGATTGATGAGAGTATTTATGTTTCTTTGCTCTCCCCCTTTCTCTCTTTTTTTTTCTTTTTTTTTGAGTGATATTGGATAGAGATGTGTTAGGAGGAATTTGGACTGGTTGGGAGAGGGGGAAGAATTACGCGAAGGTCTTGTAATAGACGTTGTGATTGATATCTACGAATGTAGCAAGTGGTCGCGATAAAAGTAGTCACCACTGTTAACCCAAAGAAACCAATAATACTAAGGAATGTATATAGAGGATGTGAAAAGACGAAGAGGGTGGTTGAAGGGGGTCGCTGTCCGGTGGATCGTGTGAACTCTTGTAGTTCGTGTGCTCTGAGCTCAGCGGTGGTCCAAGTATAGTTCTTTGTGATATGGGTATGAATATCGAGCACAGAAACATTGGCAAGGAAGAGAGTGTTATTATAGAAGATGACGATAGACGGAGTAGAGTGAACAATGGGACGACCTGTAATAGAAAAACCGGGGCAGGCAATAGTGGAACCTGGGGTAACATTAACTAAAGCAACGGGAGGTAAAATGATTTGTTCGTTCAGGGTCGATACAGGGTTTGATATCGTGTGGAATTCAATTTTGTTAAGTATAATGCAATGCAATGGTTGAGGAGAAGATGTGACCCATAGGTTGTCACGTAGTTGTCTTAGGAAGAAAGGAGAAGGGGGAATGGGAACCATAAGAC